CTAATGCTCGCAATGTTTTGCGACCCTTGTTCTGTTCCCTGCTGTCCGGTTCGCGCTCCAGACGTCCACTTTTTGCAGATGTGGATGAGCTGTCTTGGTGCCCCTTCTTGTCTTGCTACATCTTGCTACGCACCTTGCTGCACGGTACCATCTTGCCCAGGCTGATGGCCTTAAGGAGCTGATCGGCCCAGAGAGGACCGCGTGCTCTCGTGAGCAGCTCAAGCAGCTCATTCTCAGGTGACTTTCTTCCGAGCCTTTGAAGGGTTGGACAGCTCTTCAAAGTTCCGTTTGCATCGGCAATGCCGCAATTTCGGCGGGTTGGATGACGCCTTCATGGGATGCCGTCGCGGTGCTGCCAGAGCAAGTCCCCGTAGCTTGAATGCAGGTTTGGGTTTTTGTGGTCATCTTTGATACGAAAGCCTCGCAGGATGAAGCAGCTTTTCCAGTCCGGAGGCCTCGGCTCGCGAGCACCTCTTGAATTCTGCCAGATTAAGGAAGTTTGGCCCAGATTTGGTTTTTTCATGTTCTGCATCTTTATCAGAAGTCCTCGTAAGAAATCTCAAGGAACAACGGGCACGAGCCTGCTTTTCAGGCTCCACAGGCCCTGCTGCGGAAGGCGCGGTGTGGCATTTGCGGGCTTCGGACATGTCGCAACGTCTTCCAGGATGCAACTAAAATAATTAGCTTAGTCAACTAAGTTTCTGGTCGCACAAGTATCAGTCCAAGTGCCAGCCACGAGTTCCGTGAACACAGCCGCAGGCCCAGTTCAATCCGAGGATGCCATGATGCCTCTGTTTGGAAAGGCAGAGTCCAAGCCGGAATCGAAGGCTTGGGCTATCAGAGACCGGGGGGGGGGGGGGGAAGGGCAGATTTCAGATCTTTCGTGCTCGAAGCAAAAATGAAGAAAACACCTTTGAGCTTGTGGACATGTTTCTGTGCATAAGTCTGCATGACATGTGCATGGCCTTCAGTACTGCACTGTACTTCTAGGAAGCATCCTTGCAAACAAGAAGCTTTGCGATTGCCTGCAGAATATCTCCGCTCCCTGTGAAACATGCTGAAGATGCTGGTCATAAGAGCGTTTCGTGCTACTCAGCACTCGTCGAATGCCAGCATCGTAGCAATCAGAGACTCGGGGGCTTTTGGCAGATCAGCTTTATTGTCAAAAGCAGACGGCAGTAAAGAAGGAGTCTGCTCCCTTAGTTCCTTCCTCTTGTAGTGCGCGGGTCTTGCGCAGAGGGCAGGATTGCTTCGCCGATGGTTCGTTCCGAGGGTCTTGGCAACGAAGACGTGACTAGTTAATGTTAACGCATAGCGCTGCCGTGCACAGTGACTGAGTGCAGCTGCTTGAAATTGAAAGCCTTGCTCCGGCAGCATTGGGATAATTCGGGGATCCTGGTCTGTGCAAGAGGGACCTGCAGAGGCTGCGCACGCAACACGAGCCTTCAAGCGGGACTGCTGTGTTTGAAGAGCCTCGAGCAAGACATTGTGCAACAAAAACAAGACAAAGGGACAAGGCAGAGCATAAGACAGAGCAGGGCTCTAGAGGGGCCGATCTCCTGTGCTGTGGAGGCCGAGCCTTCAGCCGGCGACAAGCCTGGGGCAGCAGGACTACTTGGACGCCTTTGTTGCAGAAGCGATCAGGTGTGAATTTGTCGAACGCTCACAGCATCTCTGGGGGAGGGGCTGAGCAGTGAGATTGCTGTCTACTCAAGTCTAGCCCACTTTACAGGCCTGCTATCCACAACAAATCACGAGCATCACAAGGAGACTTTGTAGGGCACCGCAGCCAATGGTAGAGTGCACCAGGGAACTTCGGGCAACATGCCGTTCAATTTGAGAACATCTAAGAAAGGCAAATTTCAAGCTCTTCTGACGAGCTGCGTGCAACGCGCTGCTACGAAAAGGGTAGATGGACGTAGATGGCCGCGCTTCTCGTTTAACCTTCTACAGGAAAAGAAAGCAAGCCAAGCGAGACAAAGAAGGCCGGGCGTGAGACATCCTCTGTTTCCTCATGTCAAGTCCGACATTCAGAAATCGTCTGAAATCGTGGACGGAACTCAATACATGAGACTCACTAGTCTAGGCTCGGCACCAGCATAGGCTCCCGCAACGGTGGAGGTGTGAGTCTACCATCTCGTGCCCAGCTCAGTGGTCAACACAGGCAATGAAGGGATTTCATGGCCAGGAAAACGCATCTGGGGTCCGGCAGCAGCGCCAAGGTTGTTCGGCTCGGCGGCGGCTGCAAGCCTACCACGAAGCACCTCACGGGAACACAAGCAACAAAACATTCACCAACTGTTGACATGCGGTTTTGTTGTTGTCTGTTTTCACAGCTAGACGTGTGAACTGAAGATTTTGTAGCCACTGTCATTGATCAGGACTCTGCGCATGACAAGACTGGAGGTAGATAAGCCGTGATATCACACTGATTCAGTGTCAAGCAACGTTTGGTATGAATTCAACGCCGAAAGCGGAGGCTGCATGTTGTGCAACAGAAAGGTCAACTTTGGCTTGGACATTGTTTGGTTTCTGCTACCAGCAACATGTGCCTGTGCGCCTTCTTATCGATGATGAACGCATTCCTGCTCAGCCTGATTTTCAAAGCTTCGGCCATTGGCCACAGCTCACGCAGACAAACCGCAGAAGCAAGCCGCAGAAGCTGTGGCTGCATAGGCTCCAAGACCATCACAGTACAGCGTTTTGGCTAGGCCTTGGCTCATGAGGTCTTGAGGACAGCCTACTTAACTGTTACTTAACCATAGCTGCTCAGCCGGCATGAGCACTAGAAGCGTATCGGCCTGGACCATGAATGAACACATATGAACACCTTCGGAAAGAGCCAGCTAAGTAGAGATTGTATCGATCTCCCCCCTTGAGTTGCCCTTTTGCTGTAGCCTTGCTGTCTCCCATATCATGGCGGAGCAAGGCAGGGCCGATGTCTTGTGGATTCTTCTGCACCTCTGCCTTTTACCTGCCTCTGCCTCCTTCTCTCACTCTGCGCCAGGGTCTACGGATGTTGGGCTTGCTGCGCTCAGCGTGGCCTTCCTATTTGGCGTTTTAGGATTGTCAGTGGCCCAGGATGACCATTGATGTGAGGGAGAAGCCAGTCGTAGAATCGTTGTAGATGTGAAGAATTGGGATCCTCCGGGCCCCCGACGGCTATCAAGGTTTGCCTTTTTCGCGCTTCGTGCGAAGGCAGCGGCCGAGGAGGCCGGAGCCGGTCTTGCTTGCTCAGATCCCGCTTTCGCTGACTGTTGGTTCTGTGTTACAATCATCCATGCACATAACACCGTGTTTACCGTGAGTATTGATTCTTGCATGGCGGCTATGCAGGAGGAGAAGCAGCAGCAAGAGCAGCCTGGAAGCTCAGCTTTTCAACTGCCAAGCCGCTGGAAAGTGCTCGACATGTGCCACATGTCATCACGGAGGCGTGGGCAAGGGGTGCCTGCCACAACGCCACTAAGTCAAGTCTCTGCAGTTCAGTTCGTCTGAGTAGGTGCATCAAGTGTAGAACTTCGAAAGCCAGATGGGACAGTTGTCCCAGAAGTACCTGGGAACCAATAGCACTGACGGGTGTTGGTAATGCGCAGCTTTCAGGGTCTAGTCGCAGCTCACCATGGTGACATCGCTGCAACTGTGAGCTTTTCTGCACCGGGGAGCCACACTACGACCGTGGCGGATTCTAGATGCTGGGAGACCTTGGGAGGCAGGATGTGCAATTTCAGAGAGCATGTGGCAAGGAGAACATGACAATAAATCCGGAGCTCGCCGAAGATAACATTGCTGGCGACGACAGCAAAGGCATTTCTCTCTGAGACACTTCTCTCTTAGAAGTCCAGGCTGCACATTTTGCGATTTAGCGGTCCTGTCGTAGGTGTCAGCTGCAGGAACAGTGATTGCAGCGATGCTGTATGATTCCGCAATTCTGGGAGGCTTGCGATGTTTCGACTTCTGAATCTCCAGTGCTGGTGCTTTGCTCACCGCTGCACCACCGAGGCAAGCTACGGGAGGTCAAAGGCCAGCTGTTCGAGTTGCAAGCGCTCTGGAAGGTAAACGTCGCCTTTCCAACCTAGGACATAGCCGCTACAGCCTCTAGCTTCTTCAACTGTCCACGAACTGGGGTGCTGCAAGAGCACGTCGCTATCGAGCTCCTCCGACTTTTGTGGGCAGGCGGCGGGGTGCTCTGGATCGCATGCAGCGCGGCACCTCGTGCAGCATTTGGTGGGGAAGGCTTGCTCACAATCTGAATGGTAATTAGGCTATTGGCCGGGGTTGAGATTGCGAAAAACAATATCCCTTGTTTGATTGAGGTGTGACATATGTCGAAGACTCCATAGCCATGAAGCATCTTCCGGGCCGATTTTGTCCTGGAGGGAGGGGGTTCCAAAGATTGTTTTTGAAGATTCGGTCAAAGTCGAGCCTGCAAATTTATGGGCGGGAATTGGTGTGCTTCGCCGCGGGCCAATTTGGAACTCAACGGCTCACGAGAAGTTTGAAGATTCAACAAACGTACACTGAAAGAAAGGCGATCGCGAGAAACGCAAGTGGGCCGAAAAGTCTGAGGAGTTTTTTCGGAGCAAGCCCCTATTCTTTATCAGTTTTGCGATTTGCGCTCTCAGACTGCAGAGTTCCTCAGTTGGATTGCGCCCTATCTGCATTGAGGTGCAGCACGTGCTGCTGGCAGTGGAGAAGCTGCTGGCGAGGCAGTGCCGCTGAAACTGATTTGGGGTTGGCGAGTCGCAGGGTTTGTCTGAAAGATGTTGACAAGGGTGGCTTAGGACTGTGAGCTTGGGCATGATTGGGCTGATGTTCGAGATAGTCGGTTTGCTGTGATTTGGATTTGGTGATGTCATAAAATCCTGTCCCCTCAGGGCAAGGATGGCGAACCCAAATGCTGTTCTGGTTTTCATTGGCAGCGTTCTGCTGTGCCGGCTGAAGGGCCTAGGGAGAAAATATGGCACATACATGCACGTACGGTTCGGTGCTTCTTTCTTGCAATGTCCGAGGAGCCAGAGAACCAGGCCGGCAACAAGAAAGTGAACGCCGCCAAAGAGCTAAAAAAGCAGGCCCATCCAAATGTTCTCAACACGCTTGTCGATCTCCAGACCAGCAGCAATGGCACAGGAGAAAAGAGCGCAGCAGCAAGCCGACCGAGAGGCCCTCACTGACATGACTGACATGACTGACATGACTAACTACTGCTACGGTCTTGAGAACTCAGCGTTGAGAGCGCAGCTGCACTTTGGACTTTGGCCTTTGGGCTAAGGCATATCAGCACAAGCAGGAGAAGAATGCAAAGTGCGCCTATAGTCGACCGGCTTGAATGTAGGGCTCTGGATCATGAGAGGTATGCTCAAAGGCAGAAGGAGCGGGAGGCGGAACGGGAGCGACGCGACGCAGAAGACGAGCAGGACTGCATGCGGTTGGCAGGAAGCAGTTGCGCCGGCGGACATGACCATGATTCAGGTTGAGCTGTCAAGGTACAAAAGTACCTGGACTGTAGATGTGGGCCAACGCTGCATGCTGCTGGTCGAATGAAGGCCAGGAAAGAGAAGGAGAAGCAGGAACGAGAAGAACTCAAAAAGTGCGCTGCCTACAGCATCCTGATGTTCTCTGTGAATGCGGGTCAAGCCCGCAGCAAGCACGAGCTTTACCTTATACAGGCAGAGTCCTGGTTCTCGCGCAGGTTGGCTACTCTAGTCACTGCTTTGGGTTAGGGCGTCAAGATGTGACTAGCCAGTTGCTGATGTCGTGCTCCTACCGCATGTTTTGATTGTTCTCATGCACGCTATGGCATGCGTGGCTGTCGAGCAATGCTTTTGGACTTCTTTGGCTTTGAGGTGGAAGGAAGAGTTCGAAATCGAGGATGAGGGAGAGGACTGCATGATGCCCGGGCACTCACGGGCAGACTCAGTCAGATTCCTTCTTCGAGTCTTTTGGAGTCTTTTTGGCAAGAGCAACATGCTGAAAGTATAGCCTCAAAGTAAAGTTGTGCTTTTACTGTGCTCTTCACTTAAATTGCGCGTTTCACATCGTGGAGAGGACCTTGTCACAGCTGGTGGGGAGTCAGCCAGAGGCTCAGAGGCTCAGTGCACTCCTTCGCCTTGAGGAAGGTTCAATTTGGACCTGGCGTAAAATTGTATTACGATGCTTTTGGAGAAGCCCAAACAAATTCCGTGGAAATGTTTCCATGTGTGTTTCCGTGTGGTGCTCCGAGGCTCTGGAGCAGTGCCTCTGATGAATTCAGTACGATTTGCGCTTTCCCGTGCGCCTTCGAGGCGGAGACGCGACCAGATCCGAGGTATTCAATCTGTTCTTATGAACTGCTTTTGGTTCAGGGCGCGGGGTACTCTGGTACTCGAGCGGGATGGCAACACAAAGGTGTCCCATTCAAGTTTATCAAACTCATCGCATAGAGAAATGTGAATGAGATGTAGTTAAGGCTAGCAGGCGCTGAAAATGACCCGAACATACTTCTGGTTGAAAGGTTCATTGACTACGTCAAGCTTCGAAAAGTGGTGAACCTGGAGGCCGGTGTGAGCTTAGCGGCTAGGAGCACCCGTCGATCATTGCTTCGCTTGAAGTTCGGCCATTTGCCGTAGACCCTGGAGCCAGAAAGCACCTAGGAGGCAATCTTTGCAGGTACAACAGCCGAATCTCTAGTCTCACCGGGCCGAAACATATCACAACACACAGGCACACCCATCATTCTCATCATCTGCAGCAGCTTCAAGAGTGGCAACAATGGCAGTAATCGTGGCATGAGTCAACTAGCGATATCACTGACAATAGTAGCAATAGCTAGCAATGGTACATGAATAATAGGTACAATGGCACTATGTGTAATCATAGTAAAATTTTTCTTAGCACTATCAGTTATATCATAATATCGCTAAGAAGAGCTAGGACAGAAAGAGTAGCAAGAACAATCGCAACAATAGCAGTGCTAGTAACACAGTACCATCGTCGAAGGAGCAATCATGGTAACACTAGTATCGGCCACAAAGAACTACAAACACTGCACTGGGAGTCCGGCACTTGGAAGTTCTTGGCCAGGACCTTGCTGCCGTGTTCCGCATGAAGACGGTTGTCGCCATCAACCGGTGGCTCGGCAGCTGCTGTAGCCCGAAAGTCCCGCAAGTTTCCAGGATGTTCTTAGGATCCATATGCGCTTCAGAAGCCACTTGGATGTGACCCCAGGCTCGAGGAGCTGGAAAAGATGGGTCTGGAGCCTCAACAGCGTTTGACAGATACAGCAGGTCAAGCCCGAGGCTCCCTCAGAGACCACAGACTGAGGTCGACTAAGCGGCATCTTCGACGACCGCGGCAAGTACATCTACATCACAGCTGAGGCATGCCGGAAGACTTTCATCGTAATGAAGGACATGTACCTGGGTCACGCCCTTGCTGAACGGAGTCGGAAACCTTTTATGGGCTGCTTCCTGGCCTTGATCCTAGGCCCTTTGACTCCAGACCTGAACCCAAGAAGGGACGGCCCGCCTGGAACGAGTTGTAGGTTTCTTGCGCAATGAGCTGAATCTCCTGCCACTTCCCCTGACGAGTCAGGAATCTACAAAAGCATGACTCATCTTGTGTTCTTGGTCTGATGGACTCTGTGCAACACTTGCTTCATGTTGACCTTCGTGTGCAGGAGATGGAGGCAGTGGCCTCCTGGCTCAAGCGCAAGGGCCGCATCAACCGGGCCGTGCCAGAGCCACGAGTTTTGCAGATCGGGAAATCGGGTTTGTCAGCTGCCGAATCACTTGAATCGAGGTGTGCTTCGAAGTGAGAGTGGTGATGTAAGGTACATGCCTGCTGAGCAGGACTAAGCGGTTTCTGAGTTTTCCTCGCCGTTTCCCGGCCAGGATTTGATTGCCGGCTGCAACAAGCTCATCCGGCTAAACCCAACAGCGGAGGACAAGGTGCGCGGACTCGTGTTGCAGATGTGTGGAGGAGATCATACTCCGTGTTGCTCTTGTTTCTCGAGAACGGCAACACCCACAACTGCTGCCAATGGAAGCGAGACCCCCTGACTCCTCAGCTATTGCTGGCCCTTTGTCCAGGAGAAGCTTGAAGCTGAGGCAAGGACTGCTGAAGAGGAATTGGGAGGCACGAGGGGGTGGACACCAAACACACTCGGCGACTTCTCAACAACCCTCTGGCACACTAGAATCACTAGAAGGAATCTTCAGACCTGTTTGCGCACATTCTCTCACTCTCGCTCCATGGCTAGGCGAGGCGGAGGAGGTCGCCCAGTGAACGTCGAAGAAAAAGGGAGCCGTTTTGGATTTGCCAATCAATGCCGCAAGTGCGAGCCACTGACTCTAAGAGTTGCGTTCACCATGACATGGGCCAACTGTTGCACTCCCTACGCAATGGTACCGTCTCGGAGCCTGCAGTGTTGCATGGCCCCCATAAGGCTAGCCGTCGAACCTCGTCTGACCTCTGATTTTGCACAGTTTTAAGCACATTCTTGCACAGTTTGTCACGAAACTCCGGCCTTCACGTGGACCTGCAGGGTCTCGAAAAGCACGCAACATGTGTGGACTCCCAAGAAACTGTTGGAATGGCCTGCATTGGCTTAGCTGGCTCGGAAACAGGCCTCGGGCCGTAGGTGTTCGGTTTGGGGAACAGGCGCCCCTCTCCCCAAAGCCACATGTCGACCCTCCTGTTTCTTATCCCTTCCCTTCCCCCCCCCCCCCCCCCCCCCCCCCCCCCCCCCCCCCCACCCCACAGCGCCCTACCCCCCCCCGCCATCCCGACCTCCCAGCCACGAAGCCTGTTCATGGTGCCACGAAGCCTCTTGGAAGTGGGAAGCACACGGCCATCGGCACAGACCCGGGCACACCCAGATTATCTCACATTCCATGATTGCACTACCTGCCGACCTTTGATCACTGGAAATCTCAGTGCCGAGAAGAGCAATGGAGGGGGGGAAAGCAATCGAGGGCACCTAGCAGTCGATTGAATTTAGTGTTTGTTTGGCGCTGTCCGTTGCTTGTTGCGTATGGCAACTTGCTTTCGTTTGGCCACCTTTCCGACGTGTGTCGCTCTCAGAGCAGTCTGACTTGTAGCCGCTCTTCAAACACAAAATGCTCCACGTGGAGTGCTCGACTTCGCCGCTTTCTGTTGTCTCAGAGTTTGTAGCAACCAGCGGCCGCATTTTTAGCTTTCGGCCCCAGCCTCGGAGCACAAAAGCACAGCACACAGCGCAGCTTTGACCGTTTTGTATCGTTTTGCGGATCTTGTGAGGCCTCCAGTTCATGATGTACAGGCTCGCCTCGACTTCGGAGAGCGTTGGCCGTTGGCAGATGCCTTGCTGTAGATGTCTGTCCTTTATGTATCCCTTGCGTCCCTTTAGTACGACTAATCTGTTCGCTTGCCATGTTTGGGTCTTGCCGTCTTGCTGTTCCTGCAAGACAGCTCTTGTAGCGTGCGAGCATGTTTGGCAGGACCAAGCCAGCTGCCATGAGCTCATCTATGCGACGACGTCGCCCCTTGTGGCCAAGTTCTCGGAAGTTGTGGTGGTGGGGGAGAGCACACAACGGATGCTGGCTGTTTCATCCATCTTGCTTGCGACGCGAGGTTGGCCGTAGTGGCAGCCGTGCTGCTAAGCAGTTGGCAAGGCTTCGCCGCATCACGCGCCCGAAGCGCCAATTCGGTTTGGCTAACGGTCGCTGCCAAGACACTAGGACTCAGACTCTATCCATGTCCGTACTCTCATTCCTTCTTATGCAGATGAAGCATTCAACCTTAAAAGGATGGCTTGTGCACTCTTTTGGTGCGTTTGAGCTGAGCTCAAGCCCGCAGGTTTCTCTTTCCTCGGATCCATGGGACGCCAGGCCGGGCAAGAGAATCGCTGTGACCTTTCATGAGGTCAGAGCACTTGACAGCTCTTTTTGTGTTTCTGTGATTCTGAGATGTCCCCAGTTTACTTTGCTGCAGCCTAGGCCCAGGCTCCGCACAAGACGGCTCGACAAGCCTCCGTGGTTGATGGCCTTAAGAACCCGGTCTGGGCCAGAGATGTGTAGATCGTCTTCCAGGCCCCGGTGGAATCCGGCGGGCCTGGACCAGTCTTTCGTTTCTTCCGCACATAAGATTCTGCTGACCATGCTGAAGTGCCCGGTAGATTCTAGATGGCATCCTGCTGGAAAGCAAGTTCAACCCGCAAACCAAGCCGGTTTTGCAATGAGGTCAAAACAGTGTCTGAGAGCATTGACGACTTCTACAAGGTCACCGGTAGTGACCCGGTAGTGGTTTCCGGTGTTGACTACGCCTACAGTACAGGTTCAACAGGCAAAACATTGCTTTTCGCGCCACGGCGTTTGAGATGATTTGGTCCTGTTTTGTCAGGCCTACCCGAAGCCGCCTGTGCTCCCGATGAGCCTTCGATGCATTGGAATAAGCCGAAAAGGATCCATGGTGGGAAAGCTAGTGGATGTCGGCAGCCCTGACCCAGGTACAGGAGCTTTCTGGTTGACTTCATCACTCAAGTGGTCAGCTTTCCATGTTTTGTGAGGAATTGCGGGGCGATTCGTATGCTGCCCAAGATGTCGTTTCACGTGCCAGCACCTGACTATGGTGGACTCTCGGTTCAAGTATGACGCGATCTTTGCGCTCGGGATGAGGCCTTCGGTCGCTGGGGCCGCTGGGGTGACTGCTTCTGAAACTAGACGACCGGGGCATGACATGAATATCCACAGTCCCATAACTAATTGTACTGAGCTACGTAATTAGTCCTCGCCCTTCAGCTGTTATGTCCGAGTCACACACCCTATCTATGTTCGTCTTGTCTGGATCACAATTCCAGCGTAGCATACATGCCCTCGGAGGCACTTCTACACTGGACTCATGGGCAACTATGACAAGCTTGTCATGAGTCCGGGGCTTTTGCGGGAGTTTTGTGCGTCTCTGTGTGTGTGTGTGTGTGTGTGTGTGTGTCTCTGTGTGTGAGAACAAGAGAGAGAGGGTTGGCCTGGGTTGCCGTGGACTAGGCGTACGTAGGGTTAACGGAGGGAACTAGCAGGGCCGACCGTCTCAAGTCCAGGAAGTGAGGCCGGAGTCAAGGGACCCGCATACTCATGAAAGGTGTGAGTCCTCGGGGGAGTTGAGTTTTTTGGGTTTCAAAGTGCTATGATAATTGTAAACGCTTGCGCGCGCCGCCTCGGCAGCCGGGCCGGCCCCAGGACAGGAAAGGAGGAAAGAGGGTTTCGCAAAAGGAAGGGCAGAGAGGTTAAAGGGGGGGGGGGGGTGGGGGGGTGCCTTGGACGCTTAGCGTCTATTCTGCGCGTGCTCTTTGTTTTCTTGGATTCTTCCCGAAAACCAATTCTGTTCTTGGGTTCTCGTTTGGCGCTTCAACGCGGAAGGCGTTCTACCGGATCGCTTTTTGGCGAAAGAGGCCACGAAGAGGAGACGGTCAACATTTTGACGGGAGGCCGCGGAGACGACACGGGAGAGGGGTGGTGTGGGGAGGCGTGGACCATGCCTGGAGGTTGACGGACGGGTTCGGGGGGGGAGCACGGATGGGGAGCGTGACATTCCGTTGACGGGCAAGGGAGTGGGGACACGTGGACGCCCTCCGCCCGCGCCCTCGCGCCCTCCGCGCCCTCCGCGCCCTCTGCGCCCTCCGCGCCCTCCGCGCCCTCCGCACCCTCCGCACCTCCGCGCCCTCCGCGCCCTCCGCGCCCTCCCGCCCTCCGCGCCCTCCCGCCCTCCGCGCCCTCCGCGCCCTCCGCGCCCCTCCGCGCCCTCCGCGCCCTCCGCGCCCTCCGCGCCCTCCGCGCCCTCCGCGCCCTCCGCGCCCTCCGCGCCCTCCGCACTCCGCCCTCCGCACCCTCCGCGCCCTCCGCGCCCTCCCTCCGCGCCCTCCGCGCCCTCCGCGCCCTCCGCCCCCTTTGCGCCCTTTGCACCCTCCGCGCCCTCCGCGCCCTCCGCGCCCTCCGCGCCCTCCGCGCCCTCCGCGCCCCCGCCCGGGACACAGTGTGCTGATGCTAAGGGCGCATTGCGTCTATTCTGCGGGCGCGTTGCTCCCTCCGCGCCCTCCGCGCCCTCCGCGCCCTCCGCCCCCTTTGCGCCCTTTGCACCCTCCGCGCCCTCCGCGCCCTCCGCGCCCTCCGCGCCCTCCGCGCCCTCCGCGCCCCCGCCCGGGACACAGTGTGCTGATGCTAAGGGCGCATTGCGTCTATTCTGCGGGCGCGTTGCGTCTATTCTGCGGGTGTTTTCTTTGTAAAGTATTTGTTTACAAGGCACACACGTGCAGCATAGCCTTTAAGTGTCCATCTTACGGGGGAGGAGGGGGGGGGGGGGGGGGGGGGGGGGGGGGGGGGGGGGGTGGTGGGGGGGGGTGGGTGTTTTTGCGGCACTCCCCTGTAGGAGGCACCGACAGGCGGGACCCTCCACGGCATCGGTTTGCAGCTCCTCCAAGCGGTTGGGGGGGGTCCCACAGGGCGGGGGGGGCGGGGGGGGGTGGCGTCAGAAAATTTGGCATGCGAAGGAGGCCCGAAAGCCGAGGCGAATATGGTAGGTTTGGGCACGCGGAGGGTTTTTTCAGGGGGCCCTTCAAGCCCAGCAGAAGAAGAGGGTGTCCCTCCCAAGCCCAAACAAAAGAAACTTTTAGAGGGAACGACAGAAAGAAAGAGAGAGAGAGAGAGCGAGACTTTTCGACCAATGGACGCAACCTGGGCGCGCCCAGTGCGCGGGGGGGTTCTCCCCCTCATGCCCCGTAGAAGAAGAAGAGAAGTCGTGCAGACCAGGTAGAATGGGTAGTAGACGTAATGCTTTGTGTGTGTATATATATATATATATGCATTTGTGTGTGTGTGTGTGTGTCTGTTGTGCCGGGGCCTCAGAGCAGCTTCACGAGACGGTTCAGGGGATGATGCCGGCAGCCTGCATACGTCCTTAGGTAGCAGGGCTGCCTTAGCTTGAGCTGTGAATTGGGGTGCTGGACTGGACCGGAAACTCATCTGGTTTGAGATGACTGAGACGAGTGGGGGGCGGGACCAGCGACAGCAGTGGGGCTCTTGTTTGCAGGGTGTATGTTGGGGTTCCGCGCCTTGCTTGTGGCAATTTTGAAAACCTCGAATATCGGGGCGGGCCGTACTGCCTGGGAATCTACCATGCCCCAAGAAAGAAGGAAAGAAAGACAGAAAAGTCAGAGACATAGAGGCGAAAAGAAAATAAATATATCCAATGAAATAAAAACGGAGAGTGAGAGAACGAACCTTCCAGGAGAGGTGAATACTGTGGCATTCGCCTCGGGCGTCTCCAGCTGTTTTCCGACCCTGCCGCTTTAGGGTGGCCTTCCTTCCTCTCACATGCCCACTATGTCAGTGCGGCCTTGCAACGCCTCACAAGTCTGGAGCTTCCTTGGCTGAACACCAACTTCGCCTTCCAGGGAGCTCCCCGGATCCGGGGCGAGCCAGGTGCGGGCCTTGAAGTTTTTTGGGGGCTGGCCTGCCGCTGCAGGGTCGTTGCAGCGCAAGGCCAGGGTCGATTGGGTCTAATCGCTGGGGAATTTTCTCTGGACCGGCTCCTATGTAGAGACAACGAGATTCTGGCATGGGCCATAAACGAATTGGCATTAATACGTGACCCACGGCGCCCGCAATGACCTGCTGCTCCTCGCTTGCGACTGTTTTTATTGGGGTACCGACGTGTTTGCGGGGTCAGGGCGGTTGACGGCGCCATGCCCTGCGCCCCGTCTGCCACCTCTCCTGTTTGCGGCAGTTGGCAATGTGCCACTTTGAGAATCGGGATGGGGTTAGCCAATGATGACGAAGACATGAAGCATGCAACTACATGCTGATGACCCGAAGCAACAAGTGCTACAGCTGCTACATCGTAAACTGCAGAAAGGGGGGGTTTGAGTTCCACATGCATAGCAACGGCATACACTACGCGCAGCAGCCGTGGTCAACACCCGCTCAGGCGAGGAGTCTGAGAAGATTTGGAAGGCTTTGACTTCCGCCATGGGAATGAAGGCTGACCAGGCGCCTGGCCACGCTTCAGCTGCTTGATCATCAGGGAAGAACCGTTCTTTAAAGGCCATTCAGGGCCTTTGAAGTCGAAATCCTTCCTTGTTTGATGCGGAAGTCGAGGCACCTCAGGCCACGATGAACCGTCCATTCAGTCTCCTCCATGCCAGAGGTCACCGCCGATGCGGAGGCGGCTGCCAAGTATGCCAGCCGCGGCCAGAGATTTCACACACAATACACACAGTTCGCGACAGGTTTGCCAGCTTTGCGCGGGTGCGTTCACTGCGTCCTTGAAGCTTAGTGGGTCGCCCAGGCTCCACTTCACCGGCCGAGATCCTGCAGCACATGGAGGCCCGCTGCAGCCTGACAATGACGACGTACTGGTCTTGCTGCTTTGACAGGGTGCGGCAAAGCCTTCCGAAGGAAAGATCGCCACGGCTTTCCAGCAGATCCAGCCGGGGCCTTCACGTGGATGCGTGGATGGTCCGATTCATGATGGCTCACAGTAAGTCCCGAGCCAGAAAGCATGACATACAAAGTGTGAGGCATCCACACGTCATATCACCGGTGACTTCAGCTTCATAAAGATTACGTAGGGTGTTCGCACAGGTCTTCTCTCTACAGCGCGACCTTCAGCATTGGCCTGTTCCGCATCATGGAGCTGAGCCGCGGCCCTCAGTTTCGCAAGCTGATTTCGGGCTTGGCGAGTTGCAACTGTGTTTTTGTGTTGTCGGCTTTCAAAGTCGTTTCCAAGTTTGAAGAGCGTGCTTCATATTTCTCGCTCAGTAGCCTGTGTGAGACATCGTTCAAATATCTGATCTGCTTCTGAGGTGGTGTGGAGGTCAACAAGGCCAACGTTGAGGAGTGGGCAAAGGCTCTAAAGATTGAGCCTGCGCCGTGGACACAGCCTTCTACTGTCTTCCCGTCTTCGGCGATGATGATGATCGTGTGCTCGCTCTTGCTCCACTTCACAGCGACTGCCTCAGGTCCAAGATGACTGCCGACCTCGAAACGTACAAGCCAAGCCGGCCAGTTTTCCTTTGAAAGACTGCGCGCAACATACACTACTTTTGACTTTGTGCCCTCCACGAATCGTAAGGCCAACTCGAGATTCCAAGCAAAATGCCAAAAGCAGAGTGCTGCAAAATGCCTGAGGCAGAACCAGGTGAAGCTCCAGAAGGCCGAGGAGATGATCCGAGAGGCCAAGCTCTCCCCCAAGTCGCACAACATGGATTTGTTTGTGCTCTCCTACCCTTCGAAGGATTCGAAGAAGGATTCGAAGGGTGCTCTTAGCCGAAAGAGTCTGTCAAATGTTTATTGGCTGAGAGAGCCTGCATCTGGCAGCCGCCAGCACGCTTTCTTCCAGCTTGGCTTTGCAGAACCAGACCTGAAGAGAAAGGTTTCAACTTTCAAAAATCCTGTCATTGGTTTCTTTGCTGTCGCAGCATGCTGTTGGCTGGTCTTGCCGCATGTTCACACTGTTGGCTGTGTGTCCAGGTTCTTAGGTTTAATCCAAGTACTGCGGCGGATGGCCTAAACCCAACTTGGCTGTGGGGTTTCCAGATAGAATACGTGTAGTCAAAGGGGTCTGGGGTCTGAGCAGCTGCTTATTCAAATATTCTCAAGATTCAAGATCACGTTGGCAAACATGGCTGTTTTATTTGTCTGTTCTCGAGAACTGGAACCGTTCGGACTCGTTGCACAGAGCCTCACCTTTTGCTCGGGATTCTGAGTTAAGTAGCGACCTCAGCAAGCAAGGGGAATAAGTACACAGAGCACACCCATTGCCTTTCTGTTGTTAGTGGGTGTGATAGGTGATGATCGTTGCATTTGCAGCACTTCTTCATTTGCACACTTCCGTTTTTCGTAGGACTTGGTAGAATTCGTCTTGAGATCTGCATGGGCTGCTTACAATTGCCCAATGCTCCACGATCGTAACGTGTAGCTTGTCAACAAGAGACATCGTAAAACAATGTCAGCAGCAATGATTCAATAGGCGGCTGAGCCTGGCGGAGCAAATCCAAAGTCCTCCATGGCTTAGCTACAGAAGCCGAAACGCACCCCTGCGGCAGATTGAGATTCGGGAGAAGAAGAAGCTGGCAGAGAAGTGATGGCTTCAGCACCACTCTGGTGTGTTCTGGTTCGGAATCTGCCTGGAAGTCTAGCACAGGAATTTATGAACTAAGGCCTTTCAGGGCCTTAGTGTAGACATGCGGGGGGGGGGGGGGGGGGGGGGGGGGGGAGGACTTTGGAAGTCCTGCTTTGCGTTCTCTTCGCGGAGAGTTCCGAGTTGTTCTGGTGTGGGGAAGGCCTGTGCCTCTTAAAAATCGAGCCTCCAGCATCATCCTGCATGTTCCCGTGTCCATAGTTGCAGTGCCTCTACAAACCTCTAGACGCTCGGGTCCGCCACACAGTGCCACGTCGCATTACGAAGTGTCGAAAGCGGTTTCTACTCTGGAGATGTGGGGACACTTCACGGTCAGGATGAATCACCGGCCATGTTAATGTTACCTCCTAGCAGTAGTACCTACGTGCACCGAAGTCCCTGCTGCTTTCAACTTGGTCCGTCACACCTTTCTTCTGAGGCTGGAGCAGAAAGCAAAAGCACTGGCAGAGAAAGCTGCTGCCAAGGCCTCCGGCGACGAGGACGGGACATTTCTGTGTTTAGCTTGTTCCCTTCCCTGCGGCTGCCTCCTCAAAGGTACGCACCTCTAAAAGCACGGCTTTCAAGCTGCATGTCTTGAAGCAATGCACAGTCGGTTCAAGTGGTGTTTATTGCTTGTATTGTTTCCAAATGCGCTACTTCTTCCCCGTGCTTCAGCATGTGTCCTTAAGGCCTTCCCACCCTGAGACAACTCTTCATTTCAGTCTCCAATGAAGTGGAAGCAGGAGTCCAAGTGAAGCGGCTCACGAGCAGACGACGCCAAGTGGACCAAACTGGTTTAAGACACCTGTGGAAAGTCTTCAGGGAGTTCGTTGCCATCCTAGATTTGCGGCATACTCGACAAGCATGTGGTTGTTGAAGCGATGAGGTGTGGAGGGTCGTTGGGTTCACGGAATGTCAAGCTGGTGAGAGGAAGAGTGAGAGAATCACCTTCCGACTCATGCCACGGCTGTTCGAACACTGTTCGAACTGTGAAGGGCAGCTACAAATAGAAGCTCCGACAAGTCATGTAGCAGGTTTGCTTGTGCAGTTTTTGTCTTGAGGCTTCGATCTGCAACAGCTGTGGCATACTATAATCAAGGTTAAGTAGACACGTCACATTTTCGCATGGCACATGCCTGGTTTCTTGAAACACAAGGGGGTCGTGCGTCTCCAGCCTGGGTTGCTAGTCTTTCAAACGCAGCCTGGGAGCGCGTGCCCCCTGTGTCTTTTTCGCACGATTTCGGTTTGCTCAGACCTGGGGCTTGAGGCCACAACCGGCCGCCATTAGGTCGGCTTCTTGTTGCCTGAGGCAGCTTTGGACCACTTGTCCAGCCAAGATCCCACAAGATCCCACAAGATCCCAAGACGCGCTTGCCACAGCTGCCTGTGATCATTTCTGTGATCTTTTGGATCAATACTGCGCGGCAATAGATGCCCCTGCACAGACGTAAACAAGTGTACGTGGATGGAAAAGGAGCTTGCTCGACTGAGTGCTCGAGGTGTTTTACTGGTGTTTGTTCGTAGCCTCTGTGGAATAATCAAGGATCTGGCGCTCCGGTTGTGTTTCTTCAGGCGACGTAATGGGCCCATTTGAAATGCACCCGCCCATGACGTGAGCCGGGGTAGAATAGGTCGCATGCACGCAAGGAGGATGTTGAGAAAATGTTCAGGTCGCTGATTTCCCGCCGCATCCTTCAAGGCTCCGTGCGCTTGCACGCAGCGCAAATCCGCTGAAACCCACCCGCCCGAGCCAGCGCTGGGAGGAAGGTCCGCAGGCCAGGGGATATTTTTCTTTTGTGACGTCCGAGCTCCACTGTCATTCAGCACGCATGACCAGTGCCCAGCCACCAAAGATCCCCGAAGGCCGGGATGAGCACCTGCCCGGGTTGCGGCAACGTGTATGCGGACGACGCGCTGTTCTGTAGGAAATGTGGTCGCAAGCGCGAGGTGGGGTGTGGGGGTTCTTGTTGACCAAGCTTACCATACCCCCAACCAGCTGATTTGGGTTTGTTTGTAAACCTCGGCAATCATGCCGGCCCAAGCCATGCTAGGGGCCCTTCCGAGACCTTTCAAGGGCCTCCCCAGGAACAAAGAGTCGGCTTGCTTGTTTTATGGATAGGGTCTGCGCCTGTCACGTTGGGGATCCGCCTGACTACGATGTTTGGGAGAAGCTGTCACATCTACTTTTCGGGAAGTTCAAATGGGAAAAAAGGTGTCGGTAAAGCAGAGACCAGGTCCTGGTTTGTCTGGTTTTGTATTCGAAAGCGTTCGGAGGCAGTGTTGGAGCTGTTGCCTCACTTCCAGTTTTCAGGGGCAGATGGCTGCATTGGCCACGACAGCCGTGGCTGGCCGCGCCTTCAGAGTTGACCCAGACACTCTTGCGACTTTGAGACAGCAACACGTAGCTGAGACCACCCGAGGTGGGAGCGTGCCCCTCTCAGAATTCAGAATTCACTGGGGTAGGAGACAGCAAGCGGAGAGCAGAGCTGTTGCGGAAATGAATGCAGTCCCAAGGAGGCGGGAGACTACAGAGTGATCTCTCCGGAGGAGTCTTGCGGATGACAGCTGACATCTGTGGCAAACGCACTCAATCCATGCACATGCAATCAACATCAAGCAATGTTCTTCCATCTCAGTTTTCATTCACTTGAGAAAGGGGTGCCCTCCATAGACTCTATATGACCCTGCCTGATTCCGTCCTCAGGAGTACTCGCAGCTCCTTGCCGCGAAGGCTCCCGCGCGACCCTCATCTTGACTCAGCACCAGTGTGTCCCGTGGATTGCGAGGATTCAGGCTTTGCCACAGCTTTGCAAACGCTTTGCCAACTCTTTGCGAACGCTTTGCCAAAGCTCTGCCTGCAGGCCACTACGGGTGCGACGGCGGCTTCAACGATGACAACGTCAGTTCCATTTTCAGCGGCGCAATGCAACAGCACAAACCCTTACACGAGTCCAAGCAGCACATCTTCCGTTTCAAAAGTCTGGGGCATGGACATCTTTGGTGTGATATACCGATTCTTGTGAGGTCAAACTGTGTCCCAAGGATCATCCTTGTGCGGCGTAGGACTTTCAGTCAAGGTGGGTAGTAAGCATTTGCACTGCTCATCCATGGCAACCACGCAGAGACTCAGGACGGTCACCACAAGCTATCCGAACTATCCCATCACGAGCAGTCCGGCGGTCCAATATGCAGCGTCTCCCCTTCCCGCCTCATACACAGCGGCGATCTCAGAGCTACGTTTATGATCTTGAGAGTGGAAGGTACCGGACTCAACGAGTGGCAAGCATCACTGCATCACGTGGTCTGTATGTTTGGCAGAGTTTGGTGTTTGGCGGTGTCGGCTACTTGCGTAGTCGGTCTGTGTGGCTGAGAGCGTTTCCCGATGAATCCTGCTGTGATCAGCTAGCGCTCAAGGCGGCCCCCTGCACTGCGGTGTCCACCACTGCGCAGTGCTGGCATGGTTGGTCCTTGCAAAAGGGTTGCACCCGGGTCTTAACCCGCAGTCAGGGCTTCTGAGGAAACATAATAAGAAGCTGCCAATAGGTAATACCTGTAAACGCTTGCACCCGGCGCCTAGCCGGGCCGGCCCAACGCGGGCTGTAGCGTGCGCATCGCAGACGCAGGAAAGCTAAAGTCACATGTTGCTCAGTGCCATTGTGGAGCAGGGCCAACACATATAAGCCCCCAACCAGTTCATCCGGAAAGGGAAGTCTCGTAGGTATGGTCTGCAGACCGTCAGTTGTGCACAGTATCGCAGTGTGATTAGGTGCTGCTATGTAGGAAGGTTGAGGGAGGCACGACAGCACTGAGCGGCAATGTCGCACCACGACAGGGGCCAGCCAATCAACTACCAGGCGGCAGGGTCCCCGCCTGGTGCTGAGGGGCACGAGGGCTGTCGGAGCGCAGGAGGTTCATCAGCATGTTTTTTTCATGGCGGAAGCAAGAGGGTGGTAAAGCTCCCAGTGTAGAAGAGATGCAACACGTTTCGAGGTGCCCGAGTACCTCCTACAAGCCATCTGCCTACCCGACAACGGCGCCTGGCACTCAAGCGTGCTGCTCTTTTGGGGGATACTAGCAGTTACTAGCAATTGTGGGCTTGTGACCCTGGCAGCGTGTGAGCGGCAGTGTCACACCACGACAGGGGCCAGCCAATCAACTACCAGGCGGCCGGGTCCCCGCCTGGTGCTGAGTGGCATGAGGGACTTCCGAGCGCATGAGGTTCATCAGAATTCATGAGAATCAGGGTTCATCCTGATGGCGGCGCCGTTGCAAGCAAGAGGGTGTAGCATTTTCCATCGGCGTGTTGTGTAGCTGGCTTCCGGTGGGGTTGGAGAGCACAAAGCGTTTTGAGGTGCCCGAGTACCTCCTACATGCCATCTGCCTACCCGGCAACTGCGCCTGGCACTCAAGAGTGCCGCCTTTGAATTTCTAATCCACCAAGGGCTTGGATGCAGGAATGGAGAGACTCATTGCGCCAAGCAGTACTGAAATCCTAGTCAGCCATCCGAACTTGCAAGTGTCAATCTCCGATTTCCGAGTCTGAAAGGCAGCCATACGGAGTGCCGGCCATCACAGTGACCGCAGCACCGCCACAAACATCGTCGCCTGCTAAGTACCGCAGCTGCAAGTCCACCTGCTAGCTGCTAGCGTGTGGCGATCGCATCAATGCTGCCACTCCTTATCGCCCCCCCCCCCCCCCCCGATAATGACTCAAGCATGCTAGCTGCTAGCTTCATTGAAAGCTGGCACAGTTTCAGTCGTAGCCTGAAGTTCACCGCTCCTTGACTGCTAAGCTGCCCGCATAATGTTGGTCCTTGGCATGGCAATTGTCACAGTGGTGCCCAAGGCAGCAGACAGGCCGGCTGCCTGCAATGGCCGTGCCCTCTGCGCAGCCCATGGCTGTGCCCTCGCAGCCCTCCGCACAGCCCATGGCGATGCCTTCGGCGCAGCCCATGGCTATGCCCTCTGCGCAGCCCATGGCCATGCCCGCTGCACAGCCCATGGCCATGCCCTCTGCGCAGCCGATGGCCGCCCCCTCTGCGCAGCCTCAGGCGTCCGCGCCCAAGTTGACCAATCGAAAGGCAGCTGAATTCACACGCGCGACTGCCTCTTCCTGACGACGTGAGCAGTGGGATTTGCTGGCAACAGCAACGCAGGAATTTGGGTGAAGATTTGGACAGCCCATTGCCCGGGCTCAACAAGCTCAAAAAGCCGAGCATGATCCAAGTCTCCCACAAAGCTTCATAAACACACAATGCTGCAACCATCCAGCCGCAACGACCAGACCAAAGCCTGGATGGAGCCTCAGAATCCAAGTGCTTATTGAACAAATTAAAGACGCAGCCCCGGCAAAGCTGTTGTCCGCCTGACACATTCCTTGGCACGGCCGCCCGCCTGCTGTCTGGTCGAGTATGAGTACAGCAACATAAGAAGACATAAACGGCGCTTGCCATAGGCCACAGGGGCTGAGACGGCCAAGGCACATCTGGGGTATCTGTACGACCTCAATGAACCAGCCAGTCTCAGGAGACGCGCTTGGAAGCCTCTTCACCACGACAAACCCCGTGAACCCATCTTGAGCCGTCGGAAGCCCTCTTAAGCCCCAGAATCAGCCCGAATCGAAATCACCATCAAGTCGAAGTCCCCGGAGCGAAATGATTTTGTACTGGCACCGGTCTGCAAGTGGCAAGTGCTTGAAGCTGGCATGACTCCAATCAGCACATTGATGTTTCTGCCATGACTTTAGGTCCGGGCCGCCAGTGCAGCCGCCAAGACTTACTGAGGGGCACTGCACCCAGCGAGTCACAGATCCAGGTGCTGGCCCTCACCTTATCTATCCTTGCAATGCTCAGGATCCCGGATCCGCAGGCTGTGGAGCAGCAGAAGCATGCCTATGAGAAAAGCCTGGATGCTCAGCTAGACCAGGCCAGTTCATGCTCGTCCTAAAAATTTGAGCTGTTGGTTCTGACTCCAGCTCCGGCTAGGGCATCAAGATGATTGAGCAGCAGAACGAGGTCAAAAAGCAAGCCCTCCGACAGGCTTCAAGTCTCGGGGGGGCATCGAGAAGCATAAGACATTGTAAGACTGCATGTCTTCAGGCACATTCTGCTTGTGGGAAGTCATGTGGGTGCAAAGTTGGCGTCTCTTCCTGGACTGCATGTGATGTGGGGGAAGGGAGGGGAGGGGGGGGGGGGGGGGGGCGCAGGAAGCAGAGATGAAAAAGGAGCAGTATTTCTTGCAGGCTGGGCCTCAGCAAGATTTTAGTGTGTGGACCGTACCCCGTACCCAGCCGATCTTTGTCGCAAGTGGTGTCTGTTGGCAGTCGAACAGTGAGTAGGATGACAGCTGGATGACAGTTGAACGCCAGGTGGATCAGCAGTTGAAGGCTCAGGAGATGAGCGTCGACCAGCAGGCCGTCCTGCAAAGTTGGGAGTATCGGCCCACGAAAGGAAGCAGCACAACAGTGTTGCTGCTGCCAGTAGATGACACCCACCGTTGGCAGCAAAGCCACAAGGAAGCCATAAAGCAGGGAGTGCACTTGCTCCCGATGCTCCCGGAGGCCAACTATCAGCTCATGGGACTTCAGCAGGCGGCCTTTGAGAGGAAGGCCGTGTTGGACCAGCAGGCGATGGTAAGCAGGGACTTTTCCACTTTAACAGAAGGGTTCATCAGTGCCACAGATGGGCACAGCATACTGTGGTGTTGTTTGACCTGGAGGCCGCGCAAGCGACGCTGGAGTATGAGCAGAAGCGCGTCGCAGACGACTTTGCGAGGACCCAGTGCTTGCCTCAGAGCCCTGCCGACCTCACAGACATTTAACATCATGTAACCAGATTTCCGCCATTTGAGACGTGTGCGTTCGGATAAGCCGGTCCGGGAAGGTACGAGCACAAGAAAAGGGCAGCCGAGAAGCAGGCCGGCACAGCTCCATCAAGCTTGTTTTGCTTGCAGTGAAAGCATGTCCCGTTGGGATTAGCCCTGTACCTGACATGTCAAATGTGCAGGCTGAGATGCAGCGCGAGCTGGCGAGGCAAAAGGAGGCGTGAAGCCCAGAGACGGGTCCACACATCGAGTCTAGAACCAGTCTGACAAGTCTATGTTGCCCAGCAATTGCCTGCCTTTGGAGTGAGAAACGCCAAAAAATCGTCTCAGGAGAGGGGCTCTGCTTGGTGAGCATAAACTTGGACTAATTCCAATTGTGCACAGCGGAAAGAATCACTGCAGGATCACTGTGCAAAGCGATGCTCTTCAAGAATCTAAGAATAAGATCTTTAGATTTTGGAGACTGAGGCTTTCGCCCAACAGCAGCGAGCCATGCAAGAGCAATATGCCCAGCAGGCGCAGGGCGGCGATGGGCGGAACACACGAAGTTTCCATGACTGTGCGTCACGCTGGAAGCCTCTTAGCCCGAAGCTGGGGTGTTGAACTGTTGAGGACATCCGTGTAGAAGTTGTGCTGACCATGGTAAGGTGCCTCTTTGCACAACTTCGACATACTCATATATGTAAGATGCAATCGCAGATGGGTGAAGCAGGGTGTCCATGTTGGATCAGTCAGAAAACACCCCAGCTTCGCTTCAAGATCCTCAAAAGAAGTTCAGAGAACAGAAAGTTCAGGTTTTAAAACGGTTTCGGAGATTTTCCCGCGGACGTTTTCCTCTTTCTTGTTGCAACTGATGCCGCCAAGAGTTTGCTAAGCTTGGAGTAGATCAGAAACGTTTGTAGAGTGGAATTAGGAGAAATGCAAGAATGGCATTTCCACGAAAACTCCGCGCTCTGTATTTGTGCGGTTGGCCAGTGGTTGGCGTTTGTCCCCTGCTCCCGAAGGCCGCTGGGCTTGCGGCTGAGCGGCAGGCACCCTCTGTGGCTCGGCCTGGACTTATAGTGCCTTACCGGGTGTTCGAGTGAGTTCTTTTTTTTGTGGCATTACGTGGTAATGTGCTAAATGTGGCGGGTTGACTTTATTTCTTACGCCCCGAAAATCTTCGACTGTCAGACAATTTCACCGCCCGTTTCTTCGTGTCAGAGTTTGAGTCAAAGCCACGCTTCTAGTTCTCTTCTCAAACGTTCAAGCACCTCGAGCGCGAGCGACTTTGCAGGCATTTCTACAGCGGACTCCTGGGCAGCTGTGAAAAGCGTGCCAGTAGCCCGAGCCTCTTCACTGCCGATTTCGATTGGAGCCTGTGCGATTGTGAGTTGAGTTCTGAGACATTCTCACATGACCTATTTTGCGCGAGGTGTAGCTGAGGGCAAGCAATAAGCGACATGATGATCATGTCTAGTAGTCCTTTCAGGGTTGGAAGCTCGTCTGTCCAGGGGCCGGAGAAGGCGAAAGCATTGGCAGAGAAAGCTGCTGCCAAGGCTTCAGGCGACGAGGACTGGCGCTTCCTCAACCAAACATGCCTTATCAGTCAATAGCCCTTAATTCTTCAAGCTGTAATGAACTCCTTCACAGCAAGATCTTGGCCCTCTGGCATCTTTCCAGTCCTGCCAGTTCCTTCTGGGTCTAGCAGCCTCTAGTTCTTCACTGTACCACAACGTCGAGATATTCGTTGCTTTGGAGTTTGCAGGAGTCCAAGCGAAGCGTCTCGTGAGCAGCAACGCCAAGCCTGTTGAAACATATCACACGCACTGATGGAGAGTGTCTCACTATTATCTCAGCTTACTGCAGATGCCATGGGATTGTGGGTTAATGGACGGGAGCACGGACCACGGAGAGACGGAGAGTGAGCGAATCACTTTTTTTGCCTTCGTGCCACGGCTGTTTCAGATGTAAACGCCCTGTTCACTGCAGAGAAGAAACCCATTGGCTAACACAACGTCCGACAATGACAGAGCGAAACCTCAGTTTGCTGTTGCACCTTGGATCTGAAACAGCTGTGGCTTCACATCAGATTGGATTAATCATAATTAACTCCCATGTACGCATGACACGAGCCTGTTGTCATGTTGTCATGAAACACGGAGGGTCGTGCTCCATCGTGCTTCCCCAGCATGGGCTGCTGGCTGGAAGCGGATGCGCGCCCTCTTGTGTTTTTTATGGAGCCCGTCCGCTTGTTCAGGCTTGAGGCTTGAGGCCAAGCGCAACCGGCCTCCTTGCGGACAGCTTCTCGTTGTCTGAGGCAGCCTTGAACACGAGTACCAGCTGTTCAGAACCTTGAGCTAGCTCTAATCACACCTTGACTTTGACTCCTACATAATATGTAGACCTGTGACCTCAGCGTCCAACTAGCACCCCAGTTTGGTCACTGGCATGGGTAGCTTTCTTCGGGCGTCTAAAGCTTCGTGTCACTGCTGCCAGAACGCCTGCCTTCAGGGCGTATTCAGTTCGACCTAAACTTCGCGGCAATCGATGCCCGGTACAGTAGCAAAACGCCTGCCAACCATCGTCGTACATGGATTCAAAAAGGCAGCTTGCCTGATGTGCGAAGAGCTGTGCAGAGTAGAAGAACACGAGGGCCTGGCTTCCACATCCTGAAGTGATGTTCAGAGCATTTCAGAGCCTGAAAACATGCAGTGACTCCTAGTGTCGTAGCGTCGCAGAGTGTGCTTAGGGTCTCGAGGAGAGGGTGCAGCATGGTGCAGCTGGTGGAGGAGAGTTTCGGGGCTCTTTGCAGCGCTGGCATGACTGGAGTCTTTGGCCCTTGGGCTCAAGATCAGCTGGGAACCCCAAGGCTGGAAGCTGCTTGGCCTGAGAGAATACATCAATTAGTGTGGAAGCGCAATTCTTTAACCAGGAGCAAGCTTGCCAAACTCAGAATTCTGAAGCGGACTGAAGATGCACTGGCCGCAAGTGCCCGCACCTCCCGAGTGAGTAAACCTAGGCTCATCCATGGGCGGGGGGGGGGGGTCGATCTAAGGGACGCTCTGGCAAAGCTTGCAGCGCTGAACCTGGGCTCAGTCTCCGGAATGTGGGCTGGATGCCCAGTTGTGGTGCAGATCTTGTCGTGGTGTGAGTTCCGTCAGGGAGTTCATTTGGTATTGTGTGGAAGTCTTGGAGTCTTCGGGTTGTTGCGCTGTGAACTTGGCAAAGCGATTGGAGCTCAACTCCTGCGAATTCGGAGGGGGTCCAGTCTGAAAAAAGCAGCCTGCTCTTGAACAAAGTTCTGGCGACCTGCGTCGCTCTCAGACAGAGTTGGGTTGTTTTAAATTGCAATTTAGAAGCAGCGCACTTAAAGTTTCAAAGTAGCACGTGAACCTCAACCACAAAACCATTCTTCCCTTGCCGCCGCTACTACAGGAGGACAAGCATTCATTGGCGACCCCGCCGCTGTCGCTTGGAAAGAGCCTCGTCCCCCTTTAGCAGCACCATGCAGCATGCCGGGCATGCGATGTGCAGTTTTTTCTGGTGATCCAGTCCCAGGATCGGAAGGGAGATACCACTTGTCTGCAACCATTTTGCCATGCGCGTGACACCGAATGGCGACCAGACGGTGCAAAGCCCAGAGTCCCAGAGCAGAGGATCGGAATGTTAGCAAAGTTTAGCAAGTTTAGTGGCAGAGTTGATTGTCGCCAAGCTTGAAGTGAGGTGTGGCGCTGCTGGAGAGTGGACTTCCACAGAGTCCAGGATGACAAGCTGAAGGACGGCCAGCTGAGACAGAGACGATGGTTGTGTCGGGGTTTAACCTCAGCTTCACGCTTCAGCTTCAGGGTACCCAGCATGAACGTGCGCTCATGCCGTGTGGGCATGCCATTTATCAATTTATCGGGGGACCCGCCGAAAGAACCTCAGTACGGTAGGGTTTGACAAGGAAGATCTCAGTACACATGCATGGAGGGGATCGTCGCAGCTTCCATGCACGAAGTCGGCCAGGACCCCATGGAGAAGAAGCAGCCCAAGAGAAAGGGCCAAGATGAGAAAGAGGTTCCAAAGGCCTTCTCTTCCAGAGTGTTTTCTCAGTTTGTCAGAAGCATTAACCCTCCCTGGCAGACCGTCCGCAAACTGGCGGTGGAAAGGCTTCTGGAAGCAGTTCCACGCGAAGACTGGCTCCACGATGGATCCTTGTCGAATCTGGTGTCTTGCGCAGTGCTTGGACCACTGCACCCCGTCAGCTCAGGTGGGAACTTGCTCTGGACGCGCAGGAGTGTGAAGAGATTCCAGGATCATCGCACGCAAGTGGAGGCAGTGCTCTGCCAAGTCGCCTCAGGTAGGACAGGTAGGAGAGCTGTGAGACTTTTGTGCAGGTCCCTTCCACGAGGTCTCGGGGGCGGCCCTTTGTCGTTATCCTGGAGGCGTGCTAGTGTTCGCGTCTGCTTCTCGTTGGTTCCCTTCGGTTCTCCTTGGTGAAGGTCCAAGACGAAAAGCGGGACATCGACCTCTCCAAGATGCACCAGCAGGCGCAGCCACAAAACAGATACCTAGTGCATCAAGATACGCCAATGATGGATCATCATGGTTGTTGCTTGGAGCGCGTGTTAGCCAAGCAGCGTGCTTGGGCGGGTACTTGGGTCCTTCTTACACTTCTTACACTTCTTACACTTTCTTACACTTCTTACACTTCTTACACTTCTTACACTTCTTACACGTCTTGCACTTCTTGCACTTCTTACACTTCTTACACAATTGAGTTGTCCAAGGATCCGTCAGAAGAGTCCGAGCTTCGGCGCTTTGTGCAGGCTGTTGAGTGGTTGAGACTTGGAGCCCTCTTGACTTACCGCCTCTCACATCCTCTCACCTTAACTGCTGCAAAAGGTGGCGATCCGAACTCTGGCGCAGAAGATGGACCATCTCATCGCCCACGGCCGCAGAGTCCTCTGTGCGGACAACCAGCTTGCCATGGACGCGGTCGCCTTAAAGTTTGGCCGCCTCCCGGCAGAACCCAGGAACCATCAGGAACACCTTGAAAGCACGCAGTGTCGAGAGCTGTTTCTCGAGCCGTGCTGAGGAGAGCTTTGGTTCGGCTATATCGCGCAGGTGGAGTTTGTGAATGGCGGGGTGAGCTCGGGCAGACTGGGCCCGGCTCGGCCTACACTCTGTGTCCCGCCTTCGAAAGTTTGGGGTTTCGGGTTTAGGGCCGTTTAGGGCTTAGGAAGCTATTGCGAGCCAGGCGTCGGTCAGAAAAAAAATCGGTTTTGAAGCGCGAAGCTCGCGAAGTTCAAAAGCTTCAAGCTTCGGGCCTCCTCAGGCGAAGCTCGCGATGCTAAAGAGCGTCAGGCTTTTCGTTCTTCAGGTGAAGCGCGAAGCTCGCGAAGCTAACAAGCTTCAGGCGAAGCTAAAAGGCTTCAAGCTTCAAAGGCTTCAGGCGAAGCCCGAAGCCAAAACACTTCGGAACGGCAAAAGCTTCACATGACACGCGAACCAAACACAGCGCTCCATCAAACTTTCGAAGATTCTTTCATGAAGCTTGGTAGAGGTTCGGCAGACTCGCTGTGCAAGTTCATGCAAGTTCCGGAAGAATGTTTGTTGAGAGGCCTTTGGCTTGTGCGCTTTATTGAGTGGACAGGTTTGAACCTGGTGGCCAGCGTGGGCATCCCGTCGATGTCCGTCATCCGACTCATAGCGAAGCTTGGTGTCCTCTGCCAGCAAGAACCTCTTGAAAGTCTCAAGCGCCCCACTCCAAATGACACAAAGATACACAAAGTCCAGGGAGAAGATGTGAGCTCTTGAGGCGAGGTCTCCTGAAGACTGGAGGGGGGAAAGAGACATCGAGAGGCAAGTGGGATCACGGGATCAAGCCGGGCCTTTGAAGCTGAAGGTCAGAGCGTCTTCTCACATGTGCCAGGGACATCGTTTGGCGATATTGGGAGAAGCCCAAGCCCAAGAATGCAGTGCAACGCATCACCATTTTTCCTTCATGCAGATGCGAACCTGTGTCAATGTGGCGTGCTGGCTGCATCTTGGCGCGCAGGGACTACAGCTGGTTGCGTGCGGCCCTTCGCGGCGAAATGGGGCTGCGCAAACTGCACCTCGCATGTGTTGGGAAAGAACGCCTTCATGTGACTTATCGTGCTTTCGACTGAGGAGAGTGATGGCAGAGTATGGCAAGGCCTCCCTCTATGCCTGGCAGTTGCTGTTTTGCTGTGAGAAGCCCTGTCGGCTTTCCTTGTGCAGGTGAAGGTGACTGGCAAGCAGGTCTATGGCATCACCGACAAGCCTGCCAATCGCTACATGTTCGATTGCGATGAGATGGGGGGTAAGACTGATGTGGTGTCCTACTTCAAGCACAAGCACAACATCACAGTGCAGTATCCGGATCTGCCTTGTGTGCAACTCGGAAATGTGCGCAACTGCGTCCCGATGGAGTTCGTCTGGGTCATGGGCGGTGCCTTATCTGAAAGGGGAAGGGGCGACGTGGGCAACATGGGCAACAAGGGGAACATGAAGGCCCTGGCGATGCAAAAGTCAGGTGAGCACAATCTGGCCGTGGGCAAGGTGCGACCGGAATTCCAGCAGAAGGCCCCGCGCATCTCCGAGCGTTGGTTGACAGCTTGAATCGATAGCCGTGCTCGGACAGGTCACGCAAGAGACGGCCATGCCACCCACGAGACGCCTCGAGTGCATTAAGAAGATGATGGACAACGAAGACTTAGGCCAGGTTCAGGAGTCTCAGGGGTTCAGATATTTCAGAGGAGTTCAGGGTTTCCGACTGCCGGTTGCCTTCCAGGCCCGAAGAAGGCTTTGCAGGACTTGGGGGAGCCTGGACTGCAATGGTAGCACCAGCAGGAAGAACGCTCGGGAATGTGTCAATGTTTGATGTGACCGACACAGCAAGAGCAATGATGGGCATACCTTCTGATACTGCGGAAACACATATGCCACCGGCATCTGCTGGCGGGAGCCTTTTAGACAGCACAAGTTCGCAAAGGCGGTCCAGAGGCTAGGGACAGGCTGCGCGGCTTCAGGCAAAAGAAGTGGGCGAGGACGAGGTCGGAGGTTGATCTGCTTGGCAGTTGGTTTTCTTTGTACTGTGCAAGTTCCGAAGCAACTTCACCGCCTCTCCGGAATGCGGAATGCAGGGCACGCGAACGGAAGAACGGAAGGGCCGAACCAAAAAACCACAAGCTTCAGTGCAGCGTTGGTATGCATGGACGAGTGTGGGCCTTCCCAGGTCGATCTGGATGTCCAGCTGCTGTCCCTGACCGGACGACAGCTTGACACGCCCAAGCTTCGGGACGGCCACTTGGCTTCGTGCTTGCAGCTGTCACACGGAGCGCTTGAATCTTTGCTCAAATTTTTTCTGCCGCTACAGCCGGTCACAGGCAACAGTGGCATGAACTACCCCATGGGGCAGAGCACAAACTATTCTAATGGCTTCGCCGCCATTCATCCGCCAGAATACGAGGCTTCCTGACGGTCATACAGCAGGAGAAATTGAGCATCCTCTCCGCATCCTCTCCGCCATGTGCAGCTCAGGTGTCCTGGGGCCTTTGGTGCTTCACAACCGACCGCTCCCCTTCGCAGTGGCCCAGCACGGAACGTTTTCCAGTTTTCCTCGGACCGCCTTCCAAGCAAGTTGCGTTCGAGTTTTGCGTGCGGATTTCCTGCCCAGAAGCGATGTCGACTGGTTCGCCGTCGAGTTCAAGAAGACGTGTGCCGAGAAGAAGATGAGGTTTACGGACGCCAGGTTCGTTGAATGGCCGCAGGCCCCAGCGCGTGTTTGCCGAATTTTGCCGTCGCCCCCCCCCCCCCCATGCAAGCGTATGACTTGTTTGAAACAGGCCTTCCGCGAGTATTCCAATTGTATCTCGGCGTGTAGATTGTTGAGCAGTGCTTCCGGGTGGTGAATTCCCGGATGCCCAAGGCCACTATTGGAAAGAGTCCTTCTCCACAACGCTGGCCGACGCCGTTCGTGCCAACCTGAAGCAGTTGTCGGAGACACACCCGGACCGTGGTGGCCAACGCCTGCGATCTTCTCTCGGGGTCTCTGTTTCAAGTCCCTGCTGCCAGTCTTCTGCCGCTCTTTCTTTTCAGGACCTCAAGCTGCTGCTCATCCTCTTAAACGACAAGAACGACAGAGAGGCGAGTGATGGGAAAGGAAGGCCACCCGTGTGGGCCCTCTAAATGAGATGCTCTGTGAGGCAATCACTGCCCAGCTCTACAACACCATCAAGCTGGTCACAGAGACGGAGCTGGGAACCTTCACAACGCAGTTCCTGAACTACAGCAACAAAAAGGGCATCCAGGCAGTCGCGTAGATTCGCCTAGTGGGCCTAGTGGATTAGTGTTAGGCTATTTAATCCATGCCGCAGGATGCGAGGAGCAAGCTCAACAACCTCATGCTCAAGGTCGCGCCCAAGGTTCCCCACTCGCCAACTGGCCACCCAGCCTTCAACGTGGCGCTCTTCAATCCCCATCGGCTGCTGACCAAGCCGGAGGCGAGCCTTTCAGATGCCATAATATGATGCAAAAAGGACTTCACTCCTCCCGTCGGCTCTCTGTGATGGCAGGCAACGATGATTATGGGCGCCGACGTGACGCACAAAGTGTGCGGCATCAGTGTGGCTGGCGTCGTGGCCTCCGTGAACTCGTCTTTCGCAACCTGCCAAAAGGGTTCGGCGATGTTTCTTCCTGGCCTGGTGAAGGCGTTAGTGACAGGCCCTTGCCCCCTGCCCAGGCAACGTACTTCCACGAGATCCGCGGACAGTCGCCATATACGCTCAACGAGCTCAAGCAGCGGAGTCGACAGAGCGAAGAGCGCATTCTGGACCTCTCCGGTGTCTCGGTCCACTCTGGGACTCTGTGACCACTCAGCAAGTCTGCGCACTTGTTGCATGTTGCTTCTCAGGCATGGCGCAGAGCCTTCTTCAGAAGTGGAGGAAGGTCAACGGAAAGCTCCCAGACAAGATCATCTACTATCGTGTTCGCCTCAGATTTGGCTTCGACGTGCCCGTCAGCACGTTCTAGTTTTCGACACGCCACAAGAGGCAGCACGATTTCTCGCCCGTTTCGAGGTGACGGCGTCTCGGATGGCCAGTTCATCGACGTGCTGAAAATGGAGCTGAACCTACTGGTCGATGCTTTCCAGAGCATCAGTGATACCTACAACCCCCAGCTGGTCATCATCGTTGGCCAGTGCCTTGCCTAAGCTGCGCCTTGGTGTTGGAGGGAATCTGAAGACTGGCATTCACACTGAGCTGACGATTTTCGCGTACTGGCCAGGAAGCGTCATCAGACGCGGCTTTGGCTGGCGGACAAGGGCAAGGGGGGCAAAGGGAAGGAGAAGGCGCCATTCAGACCGGTTCAGGGTTCAGGGTGCAGGGTGCGCATTGTGAGCACGGTACATGTATGAACATTGTTGAACAGGCTGGCTAGCAACAGAACACACAGAGGCTCTGTGGTAAACCAAGTCCGAAGTACCAATTACACATCTGCGAAGCCTCTTGCAAATTCTTGCCCTATGCACTCACCTCTCACATCGTTCCAGCGCAGTACTACACCATACACATTGCGCCATGTCTGAGTTGGCGAGCGAGTTTTCTTTCAGAAGCCCCTGAGGCAAGTAGTGTCGACTAGGGTCCGGGGTGTGACGTGTCCAGTGTCCTTAGCATCCACAGGGCAAGCAGAGCATTGTGATTGCAGGGGAAGGGCGACAAAGGAAAAGGCAAGGGAAAGGATCCGTTGCAGGTCCGCCACCTTGCATCAGCAGTTATGGTGTACAATGGCATACATGCTATAGCATGACGGTAGCATTATGTAGCCATGCATGTTTGGAGCCTGCTAGGTTCCAGCCGGCACAGTGGCCAGCGATGGCATCGCCCAGCCATCTCACCTGAACTTCTTCCTCGTGTCCCAGGAAGGCCCGCGGCCTGAGAACTGCGAATCCTGCACCCAGAAAACGTGAAGCCATTTGAAGTCAGAGAAGTCCGTAGACTCTCAGGCATTCAGGGGACATCCGTACCGTGCCACTATCACATCCTGCACATGGATGAGCGCCTGGTGAAGAAAGGATACAAAGTGGATGACTTCGCCACTTGGCAGGTTGTTTCGCGACAAACCGACTGTCGAATCGCAGAGTCGAATCGCAGAGTCGGTGAAGAGTGCCTTTCTGTCCACTGAAAAAGATTATACATAAGCCCAGGAGACCATTACTTTCCAACTTTGCCACTTGTACTCCCGCGCGGACAAGTCTGTCGGCTATGCCACGCCAGCCTACATGGCTGACCACGCTTGTTGCTTGTCAGAAACATTCAGAAGTTAAAGGCCAGAAAGCTCAGTGACGACGTGTCACGATGTGCACCAGGTGAGCGCGGCAAGTGCTACCTGGAGGCCCCAGCAGGGTGGAAAGCGCGTTCAGCCAGTTCATGCCAGTTCAGTGCCTGCAGTGATCTCGAGCCTCGAGGCCCAATTTGGAGTTGGGGACATCGACAGCAGATCAACTTTGGGATCTTCATCAACCGAGGCGGGTTTAGGTTGGGGAGGTCTCTGAGCTACGGGTGCCCTACCAGTCCTACAATGTCCTACCCTGTGCATTATCGTGCCTTAGGACAAGCAGGAAGACAAACTTCGGGAGGAGATCGAGGAGCGAAAGAGCTGGCTCAACATGAAAGTGGCGGCCTCCAGCATCTCGGCTAAGCCTTTCAGCCTTTGCGACGTCTGGCGTCCTGCTTGTGTTTTCCACTGCAGGCGCCAGGGACAGGCTCAACGGATTGCAGTTCTACTGCTGAGCTGAGCAGCTGGCCGGCTGAGTGTTCCGTCATGTGGGGGCGGGGGGGTTCCGCAAATTAGGTGTCCATTGGTGTCCATTCCTTTGCGATCCTTTACAAGGGGAACCCGAGTTTCTCTCTACTGCCCGTGTGGCAATTGCAGGTAGAGAAGCGGTAGAGACGCTACGTGGTATAATCAGTGGTATACAGCGGCTTAGGGTTTAGGCGAGTTTTAGGGCCTGTTCCACCTGTACAGTGCAGTCGTGCGGCATAGTTCCGCAGTTCCGCGCGGGTCTTGCCTTGCCTGTGTGGCGAGGCCCTGCAGAGGCCCAGGTAGAAAGCTACGAAAGGGCGCCGGACTCTTGCAAGACGCAGCCCAATCAGCAAAAGTCATGCCGCGTTGTGTAAAGTCGCCCCGCGACAGCGTGACCTTGGGGGTTTACATATGAGGGTAACATGTTGTAGGGTTGGGAAGTTATGCATGTATGAACCTGCTAACTGGGGAAGTGTGCATTTCGCTTATGTTTGGGAAGGCATGTATATTATGGGCTTGGCAAGCCTGACAAGGGGATTCTTGCGTTATGCCGCAGTAGGTTTAGCAGTTTAATGTTTAGGATTATGTTTCTCAGGGTGTGTGTGTCTGTGTGTGTGCGTGTGTGCGTGTGTGCGTGTGTGCGTGTGTGCGTGTGCGCGTGTGTGCGTGTGCGCGTGTGTGCGTGTGCGCGTGTGAGCGTGTGCGCGTGTGGACGTGTGCGCGTGCGCGTGTGCGCGTGTGCGTGTGCGCGTGTGCGTGTGCGCGTGCGCGTGCGCGTGTGCGCGTGTGCGTGTGCGTGTTCGTGTGCGTGTGCGTGTGCATGTGTGTGTGTGTGTGTGTGTGTGTGTGTGTGTGTGTGTGTGTGTGTGTGTGTGTGTGTGTGTGTGTGTGTGTGTGTGTCTGCGTGTGTCTGCGTGTGTGCGCGTGTGGCGTGCGTGCGTGCCGTGCGTGGGTGGGTGGGGGGTTGGGTGTGGTGTGTGGGTGTGGGTTGTGGGGTGTGTGTTTGTGTGTGTTGTGTGTGTGTGTGGTGTGTTGTGGGGGTTGTGTGTGTGTGTGTGTGTGTGTGTGTGTGTGTGTGTGTGTGTGAGTGTGTGTGTGTTTGTGTGTGTGTGTGAGTGTGTGGTGTGTGTGGTGTGTGTTTTGGTGTTTGTGTGTTTGTTGTGTTTGTGTGTGTTTGGTGTGTGTGTGTGTGTGTGTGTGTGTGTGTGTGTGTGTCTGTGTGTCTGTGTGTCTGTGTGTCTGTGTGTCTGTGTGTCTGTGTGTCTGTGTGTCTGTGTGGCTGTGTGTCTGTGTGTCTGTGTGTCTGTGTGTCTCTGCGTGTCTCTGCGTGTCTCTGCGTGTCTCTGCGTGTCTCTGCGTGTCTCTGCGTGTCTCTGCGTGTCTCTGCGTGTCTCTGCGTGTCTCTGCGTGTCTCTGTGTGTGTGTGTGTGTGTGTGTGTGTGTCTGTGTGCGTCTCTGTGTGTGTCTGTCTCTGTGTGTGTGTGTGTGTGTGTCTGTCTGTCTGTCTGTGTGTGTCTGTCTGTCTGTCTGTGTCTGTGTGTGTGTGTGTGTGCGTCTCTGTGTGTGTGTGTGTGTGTGTCCGTGTGTGTTTGTTTGTGGGTGGGTGGGTGGGTGGGTGGGCTGGTGGGTGGGATGGTGGGTGGGCGTGGGCCTTGTGGCAGCTACCTCGCGCGGACCTCGCGACACCTCGCGCGGGCCTCGCGCCGGGCTATGTTAGGGCTGCCTTGAAAACCAGACGAACGGCAAGGGATTGTCCTCCTGGCGACTGAACACGAAGCCGCACCTTGGGCATGGCTCGACTTCACACGGGATGGTTCGACCTAACCCCGCCGCCAAGTATGTCTTTCCACTCAAGAAGTTGGTGGCATCCACCCCTCGGCAAGGAGACACCGGCTTGTGGCGCCGCAGTCTGCAGTCTCTGAAGTGCTCCTACCCGCCTGCGTTCGCTGCACTATCGCTGTTTCCAATTCCTGGAGTGGCACTCACGATCGGTGCCTCAGGGGGGAAGCTGTCAGCCCTCAACTCCGAGCCGGCAAGGGTGCTAACATGGGGTTGGAAAAGGGGGAAGGAGGCCTGTCGGCCAAAGGATGCCTGAGGCCGACGACCAAAGGAACAATCGAATCTGACATCCACCGCTTGTTTCAGAGCACGTGAGCCGCCCTATTACTTTGATTCTTCCTGTTTTGTTTGTCGCTGGCCAGGAATCAGTGGATTGCAGTTGGTGCTGACCTATAGATTGGAAGCTGTCTGGGTAGCACGAGGCAGGTTGAATCTACAGAATCATGAGGCTGTCGTGAGGTACTGTAGAATGTGAGGTGGGTTGAGGTGGGAACATACACTCACCAAAGTTTGCTTTGGCTTGACCAGCCCACTTGCAACGTCGCGCGGCACTGCCTAAATTCTTTCAGATGTCCTACTTAACCATAGCAGCTAAATCTGCTGCAGTCCTCCGAGGCACTGAGTGATGTCCTCAAGGGAGCTGAGACTGCAGATAGCTACTGATCAAAGATAAGGAGAACCAACCCAGAAAGCCCTGAGGATCCCGAACTTGCCATATTCGGCCTCAGAGCTCTTCGCCACTTCGCCATGTCTTCGCCCAGTTGCCCAAGCGTGCCAGAACTCAGAGATGCGCTGGCGAAAGCTGAAGCTAGCAGTGCAGTCAACCAGGACGGGACGGGAAGAAAATCTTGCGACCTTGCGCACTTCAACGACCGGGTACCAAGCTTTAGCCGTACTTGTTGCGGGACTTGCAGATTCAGATACAGCAACATGAGCACATTGTTATGTGTTGGGCCCTCTTTGGCTTCTTGCTATTCCGAATGTTCCAAGAGGGTGGCACACAAGTTGGATGGCAGTGGAGGAAGCTCAGAGTATTAAGTATGCTAGCAGTGTATTGTAGAATCTAAGGGGCCTCTCCACACTACACTGAAACACTGAGCGGGCGGGGGGCGGGGGGGCGAAAAAGAGTGACTTGACACGATTCCCGCTGCACAGGAGGCCTTGCAGTCGGCAGGGCGTCAAGGGCAACAACTCCTGGCTGAGGAGCAAGCCCTGAGGCAAAGCTTGGAATCATGGCACAGAGAACCTTGTGGATTGTTTAGAAGTTTAGACAGGTTCACTGCTAAGCAATGGCAGCTTCCCAGGCTTCTAGAGAACTCTTCTGAGGAGCGTCGGGTCGCCAGTGAGTGTCGATGCACGAACTTGCCATCTCCGGAGCCTTCGGGTTTAGGTTTGGTGATGACTGCATGGCTCGGTGCTTGGGACATCCCTGTATTCTTCCGACACCGCGTTCGTGCCTTACTTCAAGCTTCGCGATGTTCACCTTTCTATCGGCCTAGATCTCGACTTTTTTTCGTTTCCAACTCATGTGGCGCTGGGTTTTTCTCCTCGGTAGGCCAGCAGCGCTTCCGCAACTCTTCCTGTGCACCTCTGTGCGCCACAGAGTCTGCGCAGATCTAAGGAAGCCTACCGACAGGAGCTCGCGGAGCACTTGGCTGACGAAGGAACGACACCGGCCTCTGAGCCACATCCTGGGGAGTCCAGCCGGTACGAGCGGCGTGAGCGGCGTGAGCGACACGAGCGACACGAGCGACATGAGTTGGAGCGGATCCAGCTTCGGAACCGGCTCATGGCCGAGGAGTTGGAGGAGCACGAGAAGGAGGCGAGGGAGGCGAGCTCCCAGTCGCTGGCGGCCCACACGGTACGCAGCAGAGGGAAGTCGCAGAGCGAGGATGGCAGGGCTTGGCTCCAAGAGCTGGATCAGGAGCTTGCGGCTGTGAAGCTTGCTGAAGAGGACCGATGCTGGCATCTCGAGATCTCTTGTTCCTGCCACTGTTTCTCCCATTCTTTTGTGTGCATATTGTGCATGTGAAAGTCAATTTGGAGGAGGCGGCTGCGCGCCGCGGAAGGGAGGAGCGGCTCCTGGAGCGGGAGCTGACGCAGTTCGAGGAGTCGGAGGCCGGGATGATGAAGGCGATGAGGCAGAAGCTGGAGGTGTTAAGTGAAAGGAACGAGAACTTGAAAGAAGAGCTCCGGAGCGAAGAGGCCAAGACGCGAGGAAAAACACTCTCCTTGGAGGCTGCGGTTGGGCAGCTACGTGCGGAGCTGAAATGCTGGGGTACTGCGGGGAGCCCCTCGCAGGCGTCTCCAATCATTCCAAGCTTCCTTCGGAAGGCTAGCTTCTCCAGCGACCTCAGTGCCAGTGAGGTTTGGAGTGGCCGCGCCTCTAACAGCTCGGGCTCGGGCTCGAACCCCTCGAACCACTCCAATTCCGGCTCAAACCCAAGCTCACAGCGCCCCAGTGCCACTTCTGCGCAGCCGCATGCGCGGAAGGCCCGGCGCCGCCCCACCACGACTTTCAAGCCGCTGCAGCAGGTGGTCGCCGGGAAAGTGGTGGCTTCGACGGAGTTCGAGGACACCTCGCTGGCATCTGGTGCCCTGCACTCTCTCCGGCAGTCTGTCTCGGGCCTAATGGACGACGCGCTACTCCGTGTCGGTGAGCTGCTGGACTCCAGCGAAAAGCCACGGGTAAGCGGGCCGAAGGAGACGCCTAAGGCTTGCCAGAAGGAGAGCTCAGAGACACTGCCCGAAGAGAACGCCGATGATTCCAATGCCAGTGAAGGCGCCGTGCAGCCAGGGCTTTCCGATCTGTGGCAGTCGAGCAGTCGCCACCGGGAGAGTGCATCAGCAGCTCTGGCCCACTTTGGTGCATTGCTCCAACAGCAAGTGAACAGTGCAGCAGAGATGGCTGTCACGGCTATGCCCACCGTGTCAAGCGGCACCTGAGACTCCTGAGACTCTGAGGTCTTCCTTGGATGGCAGCAGTAAATCTTGACTTCGACTGCACCGAGAGCGAGCTCGTGCCGACGCAAGTGCCACGCCAGCCCTGCAAAAGTCATACGAACGTGGGGCCAACTTGAAGCGAGCATGAGCGAGAGTTCCTCAAAAGATGCACCTCTCGGGGATTGTCACGATGTGCTGAGAGCGGCTCTTCGACTCCTGACAAGAACCTGACGAAGGGAGCACCGCAGTGCACGACGCTTCCCATGAAGGCGCTGTCGCATGGCGTTCGCGCGCTTTCGCCTTCCAGCAACTCTGAGGGAAAGCAAAAGCCAAAGCATCGTTTAGTGTCGTCATGTGTCGTCATTGTGAGTGCCGGCTCCCGCAGGCAAAGAGTGCACTGCAGAGCTTTGCGAGTTTGACTGCAGGTTCTAACTTTGTCAGTGGTCATCTGTTTGCCCTGCTGTGTCGAAGGCAAGTGGCCTGCAGGAATTTTACCGACATGCACCGACTACAGTATCTCCAGCAAGCTTGAACTCTGACGATTCAACTTTCAGCCTCCACTTCTAGATGTTGCAGCAAATCGTGGACACGAGCAGGAGAAAGCCGAAAAATGCAGAACATGACACGCCATGTGCACAGGCCCCGGTTGCTGTGGCTTTTCGCTGCCTTCGCCGCCTGTTGCAGCGTGTGGCGGAGTCCGGGCCAAGCCTTTGTGAGTGCCTCTGGTGCATGGGGCATGCGGCATGCTCCATGCGGTCCTCTGGTGTCCGCCATCCGCTTGTATGCGGGACCTACAGCAGAGGCTGCACGGGTTGAGCTTCGCGACGAGACTCGCCTGTTGCGGGAGACAGTAACCGATCTGGTCTCAGAGGCCATGTGCTCGGACATGTTCTGGGGGTCTTATTTTTTCGTCTTCGGGGAGCCTCGCATGGCGTGAGATGCCTGCTTAACTTGTGCGAAGCTGCAGTGTTGGAATATCCGCCAGCAGTACGCCGCCTAACAGGAGCTGATTCATGCTCCGAACGTCATTTGAAATCATTTGAACATGTTTGAACCCTGGGAGGTCCGCCTGCTCAGGCAAGAGCTCACCGGCCAAGAGTCCCCGGCCACAGGTCAGACGGCGCCCAGAGAGGAAGCAAAAATTCCCACTGCCCCGGAGGCCCATTTCTACTGCGCGTTGCACAGTTGACATGATTGATGTAGTGTTGGCTCCTTTTTCTACTGGAGTAGCGAATGCCACGGGTGCTTCAGAGATTTCCGCTTTGTGCAGAGTTTGCGCAGCTCCTTCGATATTTATGCATCACTTCCGCCTGAGCTTGAGGCACCACCTACGAGGGCGTCAGATGTCCCACCAAAGACACGCAGCAAGGGGCCTCCCAAGGGGACCACAGCCGTCAAAGTGGTCAGTGCTGGGGGTGATGCCGGTGATATCGCAGACTTCTTCTTGGAAGATCAGCAAGTGCCGATTGGCGGCATGTCCAATCGCCGCGGGTTGAATGTGGTGGTGATCGACGCTTCAGCCGGCCACTTGCTGTCTGCAAAGACATACGATATTTGGGGAAATCCACTCGAGGAGAATCGCAGACTGGCGAAGGACCTTCGAGCTGTGGAGGAGGACAGGTCAGGGAAGATCCTGCAAGCGTTTTCTCATGCCGTCTCCTTCGATCCTCATGGCAGGTCTGAATGCCAATACGCATACACGTTCACCATACACACACTTATTGCGGCTAAAAGCCGAAGAGCCTGGCAAGGACAACGTTGTCCTCGTGGCTTTAAAAGACTCGGGCATGGAGAGCCTCGGATGACAGTGTTTTCCAGACTCTTTTCGTTGCTACCATTGGGCAGCCAACGCAAGCAACCTTATAACAGACGTGGCAGAAGCAATCACCAGAGATCCAGAAAGCCACCCCATTAATGACGCCACAATGCCAGAAGTTCAGGAACTTGGACGGCGAAGCTCTGCATGCCCTGCAGGGGCTTGGCTCAACCTTGGAGCGGCGTTTGGCTTTCCGAGAGGGCTACGCGCTGATAGGCACGTGTTGCCAATGTCCCGCAACATGTCCCCACGAAGGGTGTCCTGAAGCCGGTTCGCCTGTAGATCGGTTGTAGACTGCAGAGTAGAGCAGGCCTTTCAAAAGTGACATGCAGTGCAGTTGCAAGATGTGGTCGCCTTCATCACGGCTTCTACAAGTTCTGTTGAGCCCCGCGCCCTCAGGTGTCAAGGATGGGGAGGCGTTGGCAGAGAGGAAGGGGCGAATGGTCATGGCCGAGGCTCGCAAGATGTCCAAATCGGTCGCCAGAATCGAATACTTAGAATGTTACAGCAAGGAATACAAGAGAGTCAGGTCGGAGACGCATTAAGTCTTGAGGTTGGGTCGTTTTTTTTTGGCTTTGGGAGGCCAAGCTCCCCTTTGCAGTGCGGCCGCCGCAGGCTCCTGTAAGGGCTGCGCGATGACGGGGGCGCGGGCGCTGCTCTGTGATCCCTTAAAGGTGTCTCAAGGTGTTCACTTGCGAGTGCTGCGAGACCAGCTCCAAGCCTCCAAGTAACGGCCTCGCTTGTAGCGCGAATTAGGGGTAGTACCCTGGAAAGACCACGTGTCGTGGCCTCCGGAGGGGTCCCTATACACGCTCTGTTGAGGTTCTGCGGCTCCGTGTCGCCATTAGGGCGTTCCAACTGCGAACTCGGCGGTCCAACGTGCTGCGAGTTGTTTTGTGGACCTGTATTTACGTGCGAGTTATGAGATGTTATGAGGGATTGCACTTCGTGAGTCTCGGTGAGTTGATTTGTAAGGGGATCTTGAGAAGCGGAACTACAGTACGCTGATCATTTGTCTAGCCTCCAGAACATCATGAGCCCAATCGAATGCTCGATGCCGAAACTCCGAGCAATCCTTGGCCGGCTTCGAGCACTGTGCACGGGCCAGTTTGGACAGGTTCCAATCCAAGCATCCAAACTCAGTGATTTCGCGCGCAGAAATCCTGAGATTGCGTCGCAACCCTTTGCGTGTCCTTGAAGGTTGCTTGTGGCAGTAGCATGCATCTGAGGATGTTTTTCGTTCTGTGGCTCTGTCAGTCATGCGCCTTGCACAGCCATGTTCATTACTCAGCAAGTGTAAAACCAACAGAGAGCTTGCAGCGACAGTTCCTACTAGCACTGACCAGCATGAGCCGAAGCATGAGCGGATTGCTGGACGAGGGGGGTCGCAAGGACGAGGTGGAGGCTTCCCTGCAAAAGCTCAGGGACCTGGAGGGTGAGGGCAAAGAGGGTGGAGAAGAGGTCCTTTCGGCGGCGCTGCAGGCTTTGGAGTCGCTGGAGGCGGCGACGCTCCGCAGCAGCACGTGCCAGCGCCGCTTCTTTCAGCTCGACGGTCCCCAGGTGCTGCTGGCCAGCATGGGTACACACCTTCAAAGCATGAGGCTCCAACTTGTGGGTTGCCGCATACTGCAGCACCTGGCCTCCCTGGTGTCCTTGGATGCAGCAGAACTCTTGGGTGATGCTGGAGCCTGCGAGCAAATTCAACGCAGTTTGGAGGCGCATCCCAACACGGCGGCACTGCACCAGGCGGCTTTGCAGGCTTTGGAGCTTGTTGCCTTCACTGGCACCGAGGCTCGCCTCAAGGCTCTTCGCTGTGGTTTGCCGGAGGCCGTTGTCGCTTCGCTGAAGCGCTTCCGAAGTGATGCCCACGTTCAGCAAGCCTGCCTTGCGGCCTTGCAGGCGCTGCTGGAAGATTCCACCGTAGGGTCGACCACGATGGACGCGGAACCGCCCAGTTGTCAGGAAACCGTCGCCAAGTTGGGCGGCATCGCAGCCATTGTGGGGGCGCTCGCCGACCACCGGGAAGATGCGCAGCTCCAGTACTGGGGCCAAGTTGTTCTGACAGCATTATGTCAAGACAACGTCACGCTGCGTGCTGAAGCACAGCAGAAGTGCCACTGGCAACGCATTGAGCACCCTGGCTGCACCCCAGCCTGAACACTGATGCAGGGACCCAGCGACACTGAGCAGCAAGCGTGTTGTTGCAACTCACTGCTCCTGCAAAGTGCTTGGCTAAGGATTGACTTTGACATGTGAGTGCAAACCGAGCATCCATGCTCCGCCATGCTTCGCCTGAGTCTGGGCCTAAAACGGGCCAAGGCATGGGGAAACATCCCATTTGCGAAAGCATGGCGACGAACAAGTGCTTGTGCCTTCAAGGACAGGTGTATCTCTGTGGATGCAGGGGCATTTCGCACATGGCACCTCTCCTTCATCTCTCTGTTTTGGGATCCAAGCTGCACACCGTCTTAGATTGCACGAAATGCATCCTTCAACTAAAGCAGACCGTTTCGGAATCGCAACGCTGCCAAACATTGGCGCTGTCTTTATTTCGTTCCACAACGGGAACGTGAGGGGCTGTAGATAGACATGCATCCATTAGTCCAAATAGGTAGACCCTGCCGCGCTTGCATAGCTTAACTTCAGAGTGAGGAACCCTCAGAGCCTCACGCGACACTTCCATCATCATGCCGTCATTGGACGAGGAAGGCGACAATGCGATCGGGCAGAAGGTGGAGCTTCGAAGCCTGCATTCTGAGTAGGTTTGAGATCGAATGTTGCATGGTCCGCAGTGCCGCAGCGTCGCATCTCATGAGCAATGATGAGCAGATGTGAGCAGGTCAAAGATATGTACTATGAGATCATCAACGGGAAAGGACGGTCTGTCCAACAATCTGGAGATCCTTTCTCAACTTAGGCTCTGCTCGGAATTCCCATGTTCCTACTTAGTGATGCTAGGTGAGAAATGGTGAAGCATGATGTCATCTGACGCGCAGGAGGCAAACGCTCTTATGAGGAAGAAGCGAACGAGGTTTACTGAGCATGGATCGGCCCCGGCCTTCTCTGCAGAAGTTTTCCGCAGTTGGAGCATCAGGCAGATGAAAAGAAGCACGTGAAGAAGCTCAACAAGCGACGGGAAAAGGACGGTCCATCGGCTTCCGGCAGTTGCTCAGAAAGGTTTGGAGCTCCTCCTCGGTTCCCCGCTCTCGGTTTGCAGGAGTTACGGAAGCAGCAGAAGAAGCTGCAGGCTGATGGAAGCCGGAAGCGAAGCTCGCTGTTTTCACTTTGCTTGCAGTTCCTCAAGCCTAGATCATACGCAGGATGAGATGGCGAAGGCCCACTTGCTGTTTCGGTCCCTTTCACCTGCTCACATGTCGCACGCGACAGCTCATCGTACCAGTACTTTCACTCCTCAAGGGTGCCGAATTGAGTCTTTAACGCAAGGTCGATTCCGATGATGATATCCCATTCTTCATGCAGGACAGCAGACTTCCCTTCTACGACGTATATGTTGTTTTGTTGAACCTGTGGAAGGGCTGCGGTTTGCAGGTTTAGGGTTCAGGGATCATCCCATGGAAGGATGCCAGCATCAAGGCAGCCATGCGCGAGCGAGCGGAAGAGGACATGGTGCAGTTCAGGGCCTCTGAGAATTGACCGATGAAAGGAGCAGAGCCGAACCCTCGCATATGTACCTTAAAGAGCATGTGCCTTCAAGTTGTTGCCCTGCATAGGAAGCCAGAAAGAATGCAAGCTCATCCTCATCCTCATCCAGCGGCAGCTCATCCTCGGGGAAGAAGAAAAAGAAGTGCGTGGCTCGAATATTGCTTCATGCTATGACCACTGGCAGATAGTGGGGTGGATACATGCGCGGAGGAAGAAGAAGGACAAGAAGAAGAAGAAGAAGGCACACCGGCCGTTGTGTATCCCGAGCACCTTCAGACTTCTCGACGTTTTGTCACAGGAAAAAAAGAAGAAAAAGAAAACCAAAAAAGCCTCGAACTGAGAGCGTTCCTAACGGCAGTGATGCGTAAGAAGCATCGCCTCTTGCCGCTTTCGGTTCCCCAAGGCCAAAAAGTCCTCCTCCAGCTGAGAGCACCTGCAGATCTGTTGTGTGTTTGCTGTGTTTGCGTTTTGGAGGAGGGCGTTCCAGTCCTCCATCCGTCTTCGTCGCCGCGATATGTTATGCTGTGCGCACTAGCATGCTCCGTGCAGTCGGTCCTGCTCGTCACAAATGTTACTTCGATCAAGAGCTTACAGACTCAGACCTCTACCAGTGAACATGTGCAAACCTGAAGGTAATTAAGTTGCGCATCATGTGCACAGTCAGCCAGCCGTCATGTTTCCATCACCGGGTCGCCGTGGTGACTGATAATGGTCCACGCCCACACCAGCTGAGCTGCTACCAAGCCTGCAGGCGAGGGCGAACTGTCGGCTCCGCATACAGTGTAGGCATAGGTTCAGTGTAGATCATCTGTAGATCTGTAGATCTGCAGAGTGGTGCAGAACTCGCACCCCCTTGCGGTGCAGTTTCCTGTTTCCGGCGGAAGGCTCTGCCCGAGGCAAAAGGCAGCTGCTTGCAAGTGCTGCGCGAGCGCATTTGCCACAGGGTGCACCTATAGTAAGGAGGGTCCCACCTATAGTGTTCCGGGGTGAGGTTGGGCACTTGATTTGCTTGCATCACGAAAGCCCCCAAACAACTTGGCTTCAGGGATAGAACTGCTACCCCGGCCCCCCAAGTTCATTCTTGGGGGTTTATTCGGTCGTGACACCTGACCTTCAGTGCTGAAGAATATGCTGATGTTGCTCAAACGCTGAATTTGACAATGAGCAACCTAGTTTGCAGTCTATGGTACGTACAATGATGCTCGTGGAATCTTGTGAACCGATCTCCTTTCTGCTCCTCTGTCCGTGATGCAGTGCCCAAAGGACTCTCATCATTCTCATCCGCCGGCATCGACATGCTATGGACTCAATGGACTCAGGGAAGATATGTTTCTAGCATGAGCCTGATCAGTGTGAGGCCGAGCATAAGCCTCTAAGACAGCGCACGTGTAACCGGAAGAACCTCCACCCCTCTATCCCTCGCCTGCAGAGGAAAGCCCTATGCAGTTATTGCGAGCAATTTTGGCCCACAGCGTTCATGTAGTTCGTATAAAGCAATGGCTGCGCTACCAGATGCCACTGGCAGTGTGGCGGTCGTTGGCGTCTCCGAGGCTTACTGGCTCTGCAACGACGATTTCGTCAGCAGCGATGGAGCTCTGTCCGACGTAGATGCACTGAAGGGCCTGGGTTTCCCAAGAGACTGGCCACAGGTGTACACGGGCAATGATGCGCTGAAGTCCTTGTTGGGTAAGCGCGGGCGAATACCAGCAAAACGAGTAGCGGTCGCTGGGCCTCCCACGCCAGATCAGCTCTCGAAGCTGCCCAAAGGCCTTCACTTCGTTCCGCTGCATAGTTTTGGCAATGCTGAGATGCTGGCCAAGCATGCTGGTTTAGGCGTGGTGCAGGGCTGGGCAGTATTCGAGCGACTGGACAAGCCGAAAGGGGCCACCTTTATTGCCGAGCGCTACTGGTGGAACTCATCGCCGGAGGGCACCTGGATTGACCTGACGCCACGGCCTGAAGCATGGCAGCAGCTGTTGCTCGTGGAGCCAGTGGAACAGGGCAAAGCCAAGAAGAAGACTGTGCTCGGCGAGGATGTCTCTAAGCTCCTGAGCCAGCTTCTCGCTCAAAGACATCCAAACTACGTGCCCAGACAACCCAGACAGCCACAAGAGCCACAAGAGCCACAAGTGAAAGAGGTCAAGGCTGGAGATCTGAAGGAGCCGATGCCCGAGCCGAGTGCCAAGAACGCGGTCAAGAAGCAGTCTGGATATGTCGCCGGTGACCGGGGCGACCGGGGCGCCCGGAACGGCGTTGACTACTCCAAGTTCGACCACATCGAGGACTCGGATGATGAGAAGCTGGTCCCAAGGCAGGTCCTCACCCTACCAATGGGCCTCCCAAGGGAGGCCGTTTCCCGGCAGGACTATGACAATGTGTGGCGCGCACTTCTGCAAGACAAGCAGCTCCCGTTCACGCCTGCACCGGACTTGGACCAAATGTGGGGATACTACAAGTATCTTCTTTTGCAAAGCGACGTTCGTATCTTTCTGTTTGGTGTATGTAAGTCCAACTCCAACAAAAGGTTCCGATTCAGCTACTGGTCGCTAGGTCACTAGGCGCAAGGCCACGCTTGGCTCATACGACTTCTCTGTCGATTAACTTCAGCTCTTTGCAGTGCTACTAGGAACTTGCAAGGTATGGGGGCATGGACGAGCAGGCCTTGCTTGATCAGGCCTGTGAGGTCCTCGGCAAGTTTCCCTGCAGATTTCCTCCGGCAGAGTGGAAGGCCAAGACTTACACCCTCACCAAGAAGCTGGAGATGGAAAGCCGTGAGGACAATCTTGCCTTTTTGTGTTGTCTTTTATGTCGACTTGCAAGACAGTTCCTCGTCACCTTGTGATTTGTCATTTGTCTGGAAGTGGCTTCCATGCTGATTGGCAAAAGAGCGTCGTGCTAGGAATTTATCGTTCACCCAGGCATATATGAATACACTGTGAGCCCGGGATATATTAATAGAACGCATGCACGGTATTATGTGATTTATAATGGTGCGTGCATGAAGTGAACAATAAAGAAAAGTGAAAGAGCACATGAAGTTAATTGTAAACGAACGTAGTAAGTGCACGAACTAAATGAATGGGCGAGAGAACGAAGTCCCAGATCTGGAGCAAAAACCAGTGTTAATAGAGTGTGAGAGAAGTCTTTGGGAGATCTTCAACTGGGGCTTATGGCTGACCGTGGAAAAAGGCTTTAACTTAGGAATGGAGACCGCAGGAAAGGATTCTATTTCCAAGGAACTAGACTGGTGATGCAATAAGAGAATGAATCCTGGAGACGGCGGTTTTCTTGTCTCGCTTCACCATTAGAATGAACTGTGAGGATGAGGCCAGAATGTGGTCGGTCATATGCATCCTCCGATTTCCGGATGCGGATGCCTACTACAATCAGGGTGTCCTGCTCAACAAGCTCTGTGACAAGGCTAAGTTTGGGGGCGCGATGCAGGTGAAACTGCCGGCCTTAGATGCTGCACAGGCAAAGATGGTTCCTGTAGAGCAATATTGCTCTTTGTTCTCCAGGGCCGGCATTAGCTATTATCGTAAGTCTTTGAAAACTGATCCCAAGCAGCGCCCGGCTTACATCAACTTAATCGGTAGCCTTGAGCGTAATGAGCCAGCGAATTGGTACAGCGACGTACACGACCTGGCAATCACAGCGGTGAAGCACGGCATTTGGTACACAAAGTGGCAACGGCCGCCACACTTTGTCCCGTCCTTGCCGGCCAAGCCCTTCCACAACAGCAAGGACTTTGCGCTCTCACGTGCCTTGGAAGAGAATTTTTCGATCATCAAGGCAGAGTTCGAGGCCTACATGCAGAAGCTCGCCAACCGCAAGGATTGGGATGACTCAGACACAACCCCTGGGCTTGGTGACGTTGGGAATCGTCCTGGCGCGTTGCACGATGGCGGTCTGAGGAAATCAGGCAAGTGGCAGGAGGTACCGCTCTTCACAAACTGTACGAAGCAGCACGAGTACACTGAGCACTTTCCCGAAACGACTCGAATTCTTCAGACTCACTGTGCGGATGCTACAGGCTTAGCCTTTTGTGGTGGGGGGGATGTCATTTTTAGTGTCCTAACCCCT